CTGAGATATCACCTCCAATAAAGTAGATTTTGTAGAAGCCTCCACAACCAAAATGTTGTTGTGGCGTTTTTGAAATTTTGAAATTACCAAAAGGTACCCTACTAGTTGACCACACCAAATAAAATAAAATTCAATTCAACAATAAGAAACTAGTACCAATAAAAATTTAACATTGCGTTGTGTTTATTCCGGATTAACCCTTAAATCAATTTGAGTAAAAGACTGGTAAAAATCATGAACACACAAAATAAATTTAACCCGTGATTGATCTAGAAAAACTTATTTATTTAACTATTAAAGCAAATTATATATATATCCATTAGTTAAAAAAAATCAAAATATATTCAACAAAAGTTGTACTATTGTTTTACACATCCAACATTTCTGAGCAATTATTTCTCAGTAACATCCTTGTAGATTCCTCTGAGTAACATCCTTGTAGTTTCTATTAAATATACTATTTCAAATCTGGTAAAACATACCAAAAATAAACTATAAATTTAAGAACAGTACCCTCCCCGGGAGAAAAATAATAATAAAAAAAATTTTAACAAGTTACACCTTCCACTTCACACAGAATAATCGGTACATAGGAATATTGCATAAATTTGCACTCAATACCATCAAACAAATGCTATTGTATTGCACATAATAATTTATATCATTTATTTTATTTTTTTTTTTCTTTTGATTAATTAAATATGGTTTAACCGGATATAGATAAGTAGTGACACACATTACACTTCTACAAACAAGTTCGTCCTGAGAGGAGCAAGAATGCTCTAATACAGGCACTATTACTAATCATCCTCACCAATGAGTAACTCAAACAAAAAAAAAATTTAATTAAATAATTTCATGAAGAACTTCTTTCTCTTAACTATTAAGTTAAGTTACAATAATTTTAATAAGGTTTTAAATCTTTATTCAATTTAATGCTTTTACTAAATCGATACACCAAAGAAAAATGATTTCTATAGAGTTATGATAAATGTCAACTACAAAAAATTTAAGGTTCAACAAATTAAGTTAATTCAATCGTTTTAATTGCAGAAATCTATAATATTTAACTAACCAAAATTTAAAAAAAAAAAAAAAGAAAGAAAGAAAGATAACCTATCTGTTTGCTGAGTAGCAGAAAAAGTCAAAAAAAAAAAAAATGTCCATTGAAGCTTATGAGGAACGCTGGCAGCCTGTTGAATGGAAAAAAAAAAAAAAAAAATGTTCGTCTAATGATGGATCGTCGATGGAGTCAATTACGGTAAGCCGAGAGAGTTCTAGTAGATTTTAGGATGAACAAATGAGGTTCCAATACGGTAAGATAAGTGAAATACAGTTCCGGATGTGGAGATACGAGGAGATTATGGATGAACTAATGAGGATTCTAAAACGGCCAATAAGTTGCAATATACAGTCCCGGATTTGGAGATACGAGGAGATTAAGATGAACTAATTTTCAGACCAATTTTCCGGACATCTTCAGCGGGAAACGACGAGTCAAGATCTTCATAAGGTGGTCCAAAAGCAACGGTGGTAATTTTTACGCTCCATTTCAGAGTATGCTAAAGCCTAATGGGTTCTTTCTATGGCATCGTAAACGACTAACACAGCAGCAATCAGATGGTTGAGAACTGGGAGCACGCATCATTTTTCATAGATCGTTTTCTGCTTTATATTCTCCTTGAAATACACAAACACACACGAAAGAAAATAAATTGAAGAAGGAATTTTGAATTTTTGCGAAGACATAGATGCTCATACCTACGGCCCGCGCTCAAAGCGCTTAGCCAAGAGGCCCGTAGTTCCATCTGAGCCAATATCCATTTTTTCGGCGGAATCAGCTGTCGCCTCGGACCGCATCAGAAAGCAATTCAAAAGTGCAAAAGGAGTGTCAAAAAGTCACCTCGTCCCCCAAAACAACCCGTTAAAAGGGAGCGCGCCGGAACTCCAACTTGGCACAACTTCCTCCTCGCCAAAAGTTAAACCAGTTGCAACTACAGCATTCCTTCATGTTAGCAAACTCGCCAAATCCACCACTTTGAAACCTCAACGGAAATTCTAAATCGCCATGACGTCGCCAAATGACCACGCCTAAAGAAGAGGGGAAACTTGGAATTTCAACAACCCTGCAAGCCATCCCAACGAGGGAACGCTGAAACTCGAAAAAAAGCGACTATTTTACCGGAAAAGGGTAAAAACTTCCCCCACAAGAGAAATCACCATGAAAACGGAAAAAAATCTACTAATTAAGGCTCATAACTAAAATGCAATTAAAGTTATGAAAACGAAAGTTATGTCAAATTAAAGAGCTAATTTTTCTGCAACTAATGATATTAAATACTAAGAAATCAAATTAATTTTTGACATGAAAAACTGAATTTATTACAAGAAAATTCACCTAAATCCATTGTCTGATCGTAGAAGATTGAAGACGCAGTTCGCGTAAACTCGAATAGCCGAAATAGATTACACTAGAATTAATAAGCCAAATAAAAGAATATAACGAAACTTGTTGTGTAGCTCATATTTTGAATAATTACAAATTAAAATTTTGATTTTTATGAATCAATTATATTAAATTCGCTACACAACAATGTTATTTTAAACATACTTCTCTGTGGAAGTAAGAGAAGAACGATAATTTAGAACCAGCCAGCTAATGGAAACCAACGATCGATTAACTGCACTTAAAATTCCAGTAATTCAAAATGCATAGACCTCGATTACTAAATTGAGAAGATCCAATCAGATTAAATTTTAAAAATGCATTGGGAAACAGACTCGATTTTGAATTACCAGAAAACCAGCACTAGTGCCGATATTTGGCGCCATTCCAAAAAGCGTTCTTTTCTACGTTAAAACTGTTGTATTTAATGCGAAAATACACTTCTCTCATTAAAACTATTTTATTCAGTTGTATTTTTTGTAGAGGCCGAGTTACTTCTCCCACCACTTAAATCGACGTCAGTTCCTCTGCGATTTAAGTGGTGGGACAGCAAATAATTCACTGAGATGTTACGAATAGTATTCGAAGCCATTGAACCAGTTGTGGAAATATGTGCTTCTATTTTATATACTATCTTTTACACTGCATCTCCAGATGTTTTCATTGATATGTAGGTTTCTTTAACAGCCAGTTTTGCATATACAAGTGTCAGGTAAAAATAAGTCTGTCTTGGAAGAAATGTACAGCATCTTTCTCACTTCTCAGTAAACATTTTTATTGAAAAAAAGACTCTTTTTTAATAAAAATCTAACATTGCTTTTAATTTTATTTATTGTCAATATTATCATTATCAGGAAAAGAAAGTATGGTTAACAAATAGAAGAAGTAACTTCTTGTGACAAAAAAAAAATTATGAGTGATCATGGATTGCTAATATTAAAATTTAAAAAAAAAAAAAAGAAAAACAAAAGAAAAACAAAAGAGGAGAAAAAAAGGAAGAAAGAAGGGGGAACAATAACATGTATTTTACTCAGAATTTTTCTCATCATCAGCAAACTGTAATTGGTTATTGTTAGGACTGTCCGCCATCTAAAGCTGATTTGTATAAGTGATTATCAATAATCTTGATGCCATTTAGAAAACTTAATACTAATAAGGAAAAATGGAGTTCCGTTATTTATTGCAGTAGAAATTTTGTAATACAGATTTTTGTTGACCTTGCAAACTGTTCGACCGACTTTATGCCATTTGTGAAGAACACACCCTGACAGCAATTCTTACCCCAAAAAATTAAAGTAAGTATCTAAGCAAGAGATTTGAATTTGGCGCCTTTATTTTATTTGGCAACACTGTATATTGCTTCACTTTGCCATTCAGGCGGAACATAGGTTTGTTTGATTGTGGAAAAGCACTCGAGGGCTGTCTGCCTAAGTGAAGATATGCCTTCATGGAACACTTTTTAAGGAAAACTGGCTTGTTTTCACTTTACACATGGGGAAAATCACCATGCAGCCAGCTTGTTCGCCAGGATTCGCCATCTAGTCGGTGACATAGATGAATTTTAATATTTTCGAATGAGAACAATTTTCAAACAATTAATAAAAATAATGTTACATTCGCAAAAGATCTTCTTTTGAAATATGAATTTGAAGATCTTGAACTATTGCTAAAACAACAGTATAGAGAACTAACAGGTGAGGAAATTGAGCCAAAAAAACATTAGCTCAGAGAATTTATCTGAATATTTTAGTGCTAAATCAGCTTGAAAGTTGAAAGCCATGGATCCAAACTTTAAAAGATTTATGAAAGTAAAAAAAAAAAGGCGAAGGTCTTACCTTCCTAACCTGAAATTTATGATGAAACGAAAAAACAAACAATTCAGACAAAACTAACAGTGTTTTAAAAAAGCCAGAACAACGAATTGAAAGTACAGTCGCAGCAACAGTCATAATTGATGACAGTAATGTTTCTAATAGCAATAGTGCAAGCAATTAAGAAGACAATTTTGTTCTGTAAGTAAACTTTATACCTATGTAGTAATTTATTCATTTGATTTTTTTTTTTTTTTTTCCCTATTATGTTTTATTACTATTATTTATGTGATCCACCCTAAGGCAGTATACGGGAGGGAGGAATGCCTTTGTGAGGACTTTCTTAGGGAAACTGGCTCGTATTAACACGTTACACATGGATAAAACCATCAAAACACCTATCCCGTTCACAAGATTCAAACCTTGAAACGAACTACCAATGTTCAGGGACTTTATGACTGCTGATGGGTCATTTCTTTTTATTAAGACTGAGAAATGGCTCGTCATTTGGAAGTAAATGCAGCTCTAAGTCAATGATTTTCTGTATCTTTTTATGTGCCAGGAAGTTGAGTTTTAAATTGGTATTAGTCAAAAGATGCCGTATGTAAGGACACAAAAGCTATTATCATGGCTTTTTATCATAATTTTTTTTTTCTGATCATTTATATCACAAACTGCAGTTTTCATAATTTTACAGTTTATGCTTATTGAAAAATTGATCTTTATACCTGCTTTCTTCCTAGGTCGTCAGAGTGCCCTGTTATTGAAACTAGACCACAAGCATATGGCACAAACCCTGTAGAATGGAATCCACCACATATTTACCAAAATAAAGCCATACATCAGGTATTGTGTAAATAATTGCTTTTCCCTTTATATAGTTTTCTACTCAGTTGTACTGATATGCAATTAGTATAATTGTGTTACAATTATGCATCTGATTTGAGCTGAAATATATTTTCTTCCTTTCCAGAATGATCACAGACGGGATATACGGGAAAGGGAAAGATTGCTTTACCGTCACTACAGTAACATACGTCACAGATATGAGCAGTATGGTGAACGAAGGCCTTTCTTGAATCAAAACTACACTCGTCTTCCTTATAACATGGTTCGAATAAAGAACACTGTAAGTTTAGCCTCTGTACACTTGAAAATATTTTTGCCATGTTTAATACATATATCAGAGTGTTGTGGTCAAGGCTTTTGTCTGACTTGAAAATGCAGCAAGAAAGATGGGCTTAATCATTATTGAAGACAAAACAAAATTTGTGATTGCATCTAATAAAACTGTTGATTTATCCCTCTTGAAGATAAACAGTTATCTCTTTGAAACCATAAAACAATTTAAACATCTGGGCACATTGATCACAAGTTGCAATGATATAAAAATTGAAATAAAGAATGCAATATTTATGGCTAATATATGTAACTATGATCTTAAAAAACAACTTAAATCCAAGCTAATCAGCGTAAAGACTAAATTAAATTTATGGAAAGCTTTAATAAGGCATGTTGCCATTTACAGAAGTGACTGTTGGATACTTAACAGAGCAGAGAAAGACCCGATTTCCACTTTCCAAAGAAAAATCCTAAGAAAGGTCTTTGGACCAGTACAACAAAATGGTATGTGAAGGATTCTTTATAATCATGAACTATATGGAAAATACTGGAAATATGGTGAAAATGATATTGTGAGACTTGTAAAGGTATCTTGTATCCATGTGTTTAGATATGATGATGCATTTCCAACCAAAAAGATAATCTTTTCGAGAATTGAGGGAGTAAGACGGAAAGGAAGACCACCCACTAGATGGATAGATGATGTCAAGCAAGATTTAAGGTTATTTGGAGTTAACCGATGAAAGGCTATTGTGCTGAATTGGGTCAGGTGGAGAAAACTTGGAGAGACAACCTTGGCCTGTAACAGGCTGTGGAGCTTATGAAGAAGAAGAAGAATATATCAAATTCCTTTATTTATCCAATTCCTTTATTTAATGCTAAAGTCATACGAGTAATAAAAGGATCAAGCTAAAATTTTTATAGTAAAATTAAAAGTTTAATATACATGTAATTTTAAAGCCTGTTAATTTTTAATGAAAAATTTTCATATAGAAAACATCAATATAAATAGATAACCTAAATCCATATTTTTATATATATGACAAATAAGTGGACACGAAGGATCCAGATTTTTGTACTTAAGAGGCCTCGGTTCTCCAAATGTTCTATGCTTCTGTCTTTTGTATTACTAATCAGCCTTCTTTCATCAAGATAAGAGATGGAAATATGCAATGTGTTCACAAAAGTTCTTACCTTTCTTTTTGCAACCATTAATTGTAGACTTCCAATCACTATTATGTTTTAAATGACATTGAAAACTCCTAAACATGAATATTTTGTCATGTTTCGGCATTTTTAAATTAAAAAAAAAAATCAATTTTGTAAAAAACCATAAAAATGCAACTCTTTATGTGGTATCCTTGCTTCTATAATTATATGTAGGAAATTTTTATGCTCATTTTAAAAAAGAAAACACAAAATGTTTGACTGCCATATGATAGCAACCAAATATTTAATTTTACAATCTGAGATTTTTGACATCATTTTCGACTTGCATTGAGGAGTCAGTTAGTAAAATAAATTGGAACAATCGAGGTCGAGTTTTTTCCCCTTAAATGTCATGTCCCAAATATAAACTAGTAAATCAGAAAACTCTTTTCTGACTTATCAGTGTATACTATTATTTAATTTTAGTTATTATACAAGTAATTTGTAAGTTTTAAAATGCTAAAAGCACATTATTAATGTTCTCATGGAATTTTATTGCTTTAGAATCATATCTAATGGCCATGCAAAAAAAATTTATTAAACTAAAAATGTTTTTCATTTTTAATTAATGAAAATAATATGAAATGGCTATGTCCAATACTGAAACCTGACATGCCAGTGTTTTCAGAGCACAAATTCTATAAGATTCTGGGATTAAATTTTACTCTTTTGAAAATATTTATATTAATCAATACTTTTAATGAAAATCCACTAATAATGCTTAAGCTCTTATCATCAGAAACCTTTCTTGAAACTAACATTTTATTTTTAATTACATTCTAATGCAAATATTTCACTTATCAACTTATGTACAGCAACTGAACACGTTTTCAAATTTTTAAATTATATGTCAATTTTCATCATATGGGAGTCAAATGTTTTCTATAACAAGCATTAAAATTTTCCTAAGTATAAAGACTGAGCTATAGTATAAATTTAATTATTTTTAGAAAATTATTATTATTATTATTATTAATTTAAAATTCCCCAAAAATGAATATTTACATTATTCAAAACATTTTTGTTACTGGAAGTGTATGTCTACGTCTACAGTTAATGGTTATGAAAATAATTGCTACATAAAAAGCATTCTTAATAATGATACTTTAACATGTAATCAGTCTTTACTATGTTTCATATGCAAATAAATTGTATTATTAATTAATAGTTTATTTAACACCACTTAACAAAAAAGGAAGAAAAATTAATCACCTTAAAATCATCATCTACATGATAAAAATTTATATGAACAATGCCACAAAATCATCATCTATCCATGATTAAAATTTGTATGAGCAATGTAAAAAGCAAAGTTGTTATAATCACAAAGTAGTAGAGTCACGTTTATTCGAATAAGCCAACTGTAGAAAAGGACAAATCAATACATTCTGTTGTCTCTCATACAAGTAGCTGTCAGATACTTGATCCTCTTGTCTGTCTGATGCTTGTATCCGTCAGTTACAAGTAGTTATCTGATATAAAAGTATGGGTAGTTGTTAAGTATGGTAGTTTCCTAATGAAAAAGTTAATGGGCCAGAATTTAAAAATTTTTATTAAAAAAAATTTAATAAATTTTAAAATTTGCTTAATAAGTATTTTTCAAAACATGCTTAAACACTAGAAATAATAATATATCAAAGGAAAAAAAGTTCGAACTTTTATTTATTTTCTATCTGAAATCCATGTTTCTGATACCTGCAAGATATTTTCGTTGATTACCCTTTATAATTCAAATATATTCACAGCTAAATATTAACTTTTCAGGCTGACATTTATTTAAAATAGCTCAACATTTTTAATTAATCATAAAATAACTAGCTTTAATTTAAACTGAAAGAAATTATGAAATTTTGGAATGAAAATTTTCCAAGTAGGAGACAAAAGACAAAACCTGAGAATAAATAGGGTAACGGAGACTCTCTTTTTCTCTGAATTATTAAGTTTTTCTTTGATGCATAAATAAAAATGCATATATTTGTATGTAAATAATTATAAACTTCTGTTATTTCTTACTACATCTTAATGGCATTTTGGTTTTGATAAAGCTTGTAGTCTACGGGGGAAATTACTAGAAATTATCTTTATCACAGATTGTAGAGAACTCATCAGTCGCTTTTTTAAATTAATTTTCAGCTATGAAAAAAAAGCTGTTTACGTTTGAATGCATTCCTGAACAAAGTGATTATTCTTTGTGTAAAAATTTGCAACTGATTTATTTTTTTACAAATACTAATAAAAGTTAATAAAATCTGTATCTCCAAATCTTTGAAGAAAATTTATATTGCATTGTAAATTAGTTAGCTCCATTTATAGATTTTCTGAGGCATTTTTCACATTAATTTTAATAGTAATGAAAATAATGCAACCTCAGATTACAAATAATTTAAATCTTAAAATCTTTGTGATGTCTGTTGTCTGCTGCATCAACAATCTATATTATTACACACGCACACACATGCTTGCATGTTTGTATGAATCTTCAATTTTTAAATTATTTTGTATGACATATTAAAAATGTCATGACATATTAAAATTTCGTATGACATGTTAAAATATTACTTAGGAAGTTAATAATTAATGTTACTAAAAGCCTATGATATATTTCAGAATGATGATAAAGAAGTCAATGGTGTGAATGGATATGCAGAAGATGATGAAGGAAATCATGAATGTCATGACATAAGACATGAATCTCTGGTAAGAGTAATCTTTTTAAATATGTCTTGCCAAATTAAATAAAATGTTGTGATGAAATAAAATGTGTAATTAATAATGCAAGTGTAATATTTCATTAAAAAATTCATTTAAATACATTATATGTTACACTAAAAGTTTCACTATTCGGAAAGCTCAAGAAATGGAGAATGATGGTTGACGGTTCCAGATGGTTGAACATATAAAAAGTGCAGTCCATAGTAGAAAATCCAAATTTCATGACTAAAATTATAAAAACAATCATTTTATTTCTTATCCACTTGAATATCAAAAGCGTGCAAAATTTTGAGGGAAAAAAATTACATTTCAAACATAAAGGCCAACATATTTTCCTGTATAAACCTTAAACTTGCAAATGTAAAACATTTAATGTGATTATGAAATACGGTTGACTACGAAAGTTGGCAGAGATTCCACCAAACTTGCACCAGTCATTCTACCAGAAGTTTGAAAGAACTGATTGCACTTTCTTTAGTTAGATAACCAAGAGATACAAGTTACAGATGTAATTTATAAAAACCTGAAATAGCTTCCTACAGTTTCATTACCTTTGTTCATTCATTTTCAAATAAAAGCACTTATGTCTTTCAAATAAAGGTATTTTCAAATAAAATCATTCATTTTGAAATAAAGGCATTATCTAAAATTGTGCATTAACACATATTTATCTCAATGCCAGGATAGGCATATTTTTTATTTATTTATTTTATTTTTTTAATCTGAGGAGGAAACAATAAATAGCATTTAACTTCACAAAAACAATGCTGCTGATTAAGAATTAATCAGGTTTATATAAAACCAAGGCTAGAGCCCCTATGAGAGAGAATTGGTGCATTCTACTATTTTTAAGCTAAAGGTAAGTGACTCCTTCTCATCTCCAAAGTCTTTGAATCAGATACACTTTTCTACAACCTTTCATTGACCAAGCCTCTCAGTTAAAATATTACTTAGGAAGTTAATAATCTAATCTGTTATATAATGTTAATTTAAAATAAAAATAATTTTAAATTTGTTTAGAATATTGTTTGACCATTTTGAAAAAAACTAAATTTGCACTTTATGTATTTCAAAAAAGAAACTAGGATATTAAGCTCTAGCTACATTTATTCTTACTTCTAAACTGCACCTACCAGTCAACTTGCAGTGCATGTGCGGATCTAGTTGTAAACATTTAGCAAACCTCGAGGGTGCATATCTTTGTAAATTGTAAAAACTTAGCTTAATTCCTATTTTCTTATTACTTTTTTTTATACCACTAGCCACTTGCATGGCTAGCTGCCTAAAATAATAATTGGAAATTAAAAATTAAGCAGTGACTGCACGCTTAATCTATCTTTTACAAAGATTATGATAATTGGATTGTGATGTAATGCTTATCCATTATTAGCACTAAATCACACCTTTCGGCAACAGTTTTTGTTTGTTTTGAGTTTAGTCCTGTACATGCTTTATAATGGTTCTATTAGTCTCTTGTTTGCTTAATGTTTCGTTTATTTTATTTTATTTTATTTATTTATTTATTTTAAATTTTAAAATAGTCCAGTTACTTGAGCTTTATAGTTATTTTAAATGGTCTGCCCTTTCCTCTATATGAAAATATGCTCTTGAAATTCCAAAAAAGAATACCTACAGCTGGGGAAATTAAAATAAAATTTTCATGAATTTATGAGCATGAAAGGATTTCCAACTAAAAAAAAGGCAGCTATTATTTTTGTTCAATATGGTTTTATATATTTAGTTCATTCATTCAACTCAGTTATGAGAGTAACAATGGACTCTTCTGGAAAATGTGCCTCTACTGATCATGTTATATTGTGTACAGATAGAATATTGAATATTGTTTGATTAAATGTATTTTAGGCTCTCTGAAATTATAGACCTATGCAGCTACAATTGTTATTGAAAGTTGGGTGTGGGAAAATATCTCTTTCAGTCTAGTACTATTTATTTTTATTTAGTTGAAATACATACAAATAAAAGAAGTTTATGAACTAATTAAAGAACATACTGCATTTCTTTGAGGATATGCAGACTGACATTTACTTGCTGACATAATGTATTTATTTCTTTTTGCTTAAAGAACAGTAGTATAAGTCTGATGTTAGTGTAATATGTACAGGAATATTTAAAACTAGAGGAACATATTTCTAAAATGGGTAGAGCACACCTAGAAAGCTCAGAATCACATAGCAGTGCAGGGTCAGAAATGCAATCCTACTGAGATAGGGGGATATTATGGACTGTTGGCAGGAAAACCATCGACAGGCACCTGCAGAAGTGTTAGGATAAAAAATATGAATACATCGTGATGGCAGATTGACATTTAAACAACGTGAAATTAAATCATGACTTTCCTGATGATGAAGCACCCTCAAACTTCATAATGTGGTGTAAGGAATGGAATCTTGGATGTTTTAAAATGGCATTGTGGCTGTGGTGAAGGTTCAATGGATGTCCAGTAAATTTTGAAATGTCCAAGATTCTGTGCGGTGCCCACGTTACAAAATTTTGGCTAACTTCATTATCAGGAAAGGCACGACCTATTTTAAGCTTATAGTCTTTAAATGTCAATTTGGGATCATTATATGTTCATATTTTCTATCCTAATACCTTAGTGGGTGGCTGTCGATAGTTTTCCTGCTACAGCTCCTAACAACCCCCATTTCGTTAGGATTGCATTTCCGACCCTGTATTGGTATGGATTCTGAGTCGTCTGGGCATACCGTAGCCCTCCTAGAAGTTTGTTCCTCTAGTTTTGAATAACCCTGTGTAATATATCAAAGTGTCTGGAAACTACCAAACTTGAATCATAATTTATAGAACATTACAGATGAAAATCTTGTACATAAAGGAACAAAATGTGGCCATATTGTCAAATATTGCCGTAGATATTTTAGTGGATGAATTTTTGTCTTATGTTTTCTAAGTTGAAAATGAATTATTTAAAATTTTCATGAAAAACTTCATAAAATTGCTAAATTCATTTTCTGTAATGTTCATTATTCTTTTTTAAGAGATTTTTATTTGTTTGTGTGCATCATATAATTTTGGATTAATTTTTCTTACTGCATCTTTTTTGTTCTATACCAAGTTCAGCTTCATATTACCATGTGAAACATCAAAATATTCATACCTTAAAGTTGCAGTAAAATATATATTCAGTTGCATTAGTGATAGACTGAGATATCACTTGCTTTACTTAATAAAAATTTGAGTATCAGGGTCTAAAGTTTGCAGTTTAAATTATAAAATAGAAGAATAGATTAAAACAATTCTTTGATATTTAGACTTTTGAAATTAAGTTTTTATTCTGTATTATAATTTTTTGTGTTTGTTTTATACATATTTAAGTGTTTCTCGTGTGTTTTGTGTTTGGCTTTAGATGGTAAATTGTTAAAGATATTTTTAGATACTTGAAATGTCATCTAATTACTTTGGGATTAAAAATATAAATGTACTGATTGTTTTAAATTTAAAGTCAGTTCAAGATGAACATGATTTGCTTTTATTTTATCAGAACTCTGAAAATCCTATTGCATCTGCTGAAGGTCATCATCACAATGGTACATCACAGATAGGTGCGGCAGAAGTTCCAGGGGCTAGTGACATGTCTTCACTTGGTGCCATTTATCAAGGAGAATGGCCTATGCACAGAGGTCAGGAATTCTTGAATCTTTTTCTAAAAGTTATGGTATTTTGCAACATTATGTAAAAAATATTTACTCTTATCCTGTTTCCTGTCCTAAATATGAAAGTGGTGATGCAATAAATGAAAACAGTTAATAATTAATAACTCCCTCAAATTTGGCTTTTTAATCGTACCTTTCAGAACTTAAGTTATGCAGTGTGAAATAGAATGGTATTTGTCATGTTACATAATCGATAACTGTCAAACATTGCTTTAAGAAGTCTAAAATAAATTAAATTGATTGTGTGCTTGTATATATTCCATAATATATATATTCCATTGTATATATTCCATTGATGGTCTTTAATATTTGCCCCTGTTGTAGCACTTTGGATGAGTGGGCCAAGCTGTATTGGTGAGAAGGATCCATTAGATGGTTTTGGTGGTGATGACACTGAGAGTATAATGAGCTTCAGTTCCAGTACTGCAACTATGAGTTCTCGCAGACCACATACACACCAACTTGGTACAAAGGTAAAACTCGCAATCTTTCATCTCATTTGTAGTTTTATATTTTCTTTAAATAATTATTTGGTCAAGAAAAATTGCCAAACAGAAATTTAAATAAATCAAAATACTCTAAGTGACTTTCTAAGGGAAATTGGCTTGTAGGAATATTACACATGGGAAAACCATGAAAACGCCCTCCAGACAGCCCATTCATTGTAAACCGTTAGCGTCGAACACTGGATTGAACTATCAGTGTTCAGTCACTTTACTGCTTAGCTAGTGGTGGGCAAAATTTAGAAATGTAGGTCAAAAGAATTATTTTATTTCACTGTAATATTATGCCAATTATTTATTTCATTTAAATATCAAAAGTTTCCTTGAACTGATTTCCTCCTTTCCTGTTTCCCAGGTAAACATTCTGAAAATTAAGAGAGGGTCAAATAATTAATTTCTGAAGAACTTAGTAAATTTTAAAGTATGAGCTGTTTTTACTAGTTTTTCTACTGTGAAATATTTATATCTATGTGTATTTATATGTAAATAAATGTATACCATATAGTATTATGAAATATTGTTAAGACGAACTTCGCTCTTCAGATGGACTGGACTGCATTCTAAATTAACAATATAGTTTTTGTAATGTATAAAGTATATTATATTGTTTCAATATCGAAGGTGTTCTGCATGTGCTTCTAAGGTTGTATCATTAATATACTCATATTACTGTTATGATGATGAAGATACACTTCCGTAATGTGTATGTGGCTGATGAAAAAGACTTCATGTCTTTTTTCATGTATGAAAGTGCTTAGTTTTTCTATAAAATGACCATAAATTTAGGTTTGAATTTTGCCTTAATTAATATTCAAATTAATATACTTCCATTCCATATATGTGCATGTATTACCATTGGTAGTTTGAAGATGGAAAACATTTTGGTTTTACTGTACAAAATAAGAAATTTTTTCTCAATTGAATTCAAAATAATAATTTTCTTTTATTTCAAACATCAAGTATAACACAATTCTAATTTTGAATCACACATAACTTGCTATCATAGTTTTGGCTTTGAGTTCTCAAAAAAGAAACTTGAATATCATCTGTCTGGCAATCTGTATGATGTATCTTAAATAAATATATGCTCATGAATGAAAATCTAAAGCAACTTCAGATTTGATTTTGAAATGTTTATTTGATTAAATAACTTTTGCAAAGAAAATTAGCTTTAGTTTGCATTATGAATGTTACTGTAATTTCCTGTATATAATCTATTAATTCAAGAAAAAGTGTTAAAATTCACAGAAAGTCAAACACTTTTAAAGTTGTAACATTCTTTTATGTTAATTAACCAGTTATTTTATGTTTTGAATCTTTACTATCACTTCTCCCTTCCATTTTCATGCCAGAATGCAGATTTAATTCACAAGTATTTAAGCTGGGGTTTTTAGATTGTAAGACAGACCATATTCTGCCTCTTGAGGCCATGTTACTAAGACTGTGAGATAAGATTTGCAGTCTTCGACCTTGCATTATAATTGCCAATAATTGATATCCATGCCTGTCAGTTTTTAACACACACATTAAACTGATTTCAGTTCAGCTACTAGCTTAGTCGGATATAAATAATACACTTGACTTACTGTATTTAAGTTAATTACTCTATTTAAGCTGTATTGTAAACACAAGGTGGGGCTTCTTTTCTTATTTAGTTTTAAATCAAAGGTCTTTTACATCTTTTGCAAGTTTCAGTTGTTACTTAGAGATTATTCCCATAATGTCTACCAAGAGTTTGGATACTTTAGATGATTACAAAGAACACTAAACTCTAAAAAGCATGTTTAAATCTTGCATTGTGAATTCTACTTTTTAATAACTTTAACTACTTTTTAATGGTCCTTTTGTGTGTAGAAGGGATCAAATAGGTGCTGTCAAGTATCTCATGGGTGTGTGTCACTATATACAAATTTAGGTATTCACTGACAGTCAGATTGTAGAGACATTAGGTATTATTTTTGAAGCAGGCAAGATGAAAAATTAGCAACGCCTTCGCCAGGAATTGAACCACAGACCTCTGGAATACCGCCCCAGCTTGCAGACCTCCACACGACGAAGGCACGCTAGGAAGGCAGGAGAAATACCTTATATACTCCCCCCTTTTAAAAAGCGACTGGGGTTTTTAGGGGACCCACTTGCCAAATCCTGGGTGCGGAGGATCATCATCCAACACCCTTTTAGTTTGGGTGCCAGTGTAGTGACATTAGGTATTTTTTGAAGCAGGCAATATGAAAAATTAGCAATGCCTTTGGCAGGAATTGAACCACGGACCTCTGGAATACTGGCCCAGCATGCAGACCACCGCACCATGAAGACATGCTAGGAAGGTGGGAGAAACACCTTACAAGGTCTTCCAAATCTTGTGTGGACAGCGAATCACTATCTAGATCAGGAGCTTGTCTGCTGGAGCTGTGTAAAATATTCATAATAAAATCAGTTTTTTTTTTTTTTTTTTAAATAAGTGGCACAAAAGATTCAAGATGGTTATCAAACTTTAAAGATTATTTTGTCAGAATGCTTTGAAAAGTGAAACTTGAGTCAGATTCTCCCAAAATGCACAGAGCTTTTTTTAACTCAAATCCTAAGTTGAATTGTTCTAAAATTTATAGTGAAAACTTTGTGCTTCTTCTTACATATATAATTTAAATTATATCTTTTTGGTAGAATTTATTTCAGATGAAAATGTAAGGGATATTTTAAATATGTAGAGTATCCTGAAAGCTTCATTTTATTCATGGAATTTGTCAGTGTAAAATAGTAATATTTTAACCTGTTCATAACCTAAATGTTTTAACTACTTTGTCATGTAAACTATTCAAGAGATAGTTTTTTACTTCCCAAAAAAAGAGTTCATTAATTTGTTTTAATTCCTCTAAGAGTTAGACTTACACTTATCTAGTCTGTGAATAATACAATCCCTGAGCAGTAAGACCATTAAATATTTATAGTTTGACCCAAGTTCAAATTCTTTTCAACATGCTGACTGCATTGCATTTTTAATGCTTTTCTCCAAATTTAATGTGAATATGGGCCAATTTCCCTTCAGGGAAGAGGGGAACCTTCCAAGACATTGTTCTCCTTTGCATTCATTATCTGCCGTAATTCAATTAGTCCAGTTTGATCCCTCTGGGGCAAAAGGATTCTTTTGTGGGAGGTTTCTTAATTAAAAACTAAGGATGCCATTTGAAAGTTTTAACTTCTTTGTTGGGTTTATGAAAAAGGAAAAGGAAATTTTTGCAGTCTTGCACAAAATTTCTTCTATAATTGTATTTTGACTGTATAAAGCAAAGTGTGTGATATTTAAAGAGTTATTCATAAGATTTGTTGATGTAAGTTATCTTGATCATGTAATTAGTGTTCTTTGCTCTACAGTTTGTAACACTATAAATTTTATTTTACTTCTGTGAGTGTTAGCAAAGTATCATCTGATTTACTTTACTTAACTTTTCTAAAAATCATTTTTGACTTCTAAATCTGAAGCAAATTGCAGTTTAGGTGTTTCATCTTTATTATGAAATACATCACTTGTTAAAACTGGTGTGAGGCATATGGCAGTTACTAAAATCTCATTGCAGTTTTTTAGTAGCATTATAAGCCCAGCTTCTCATTTATACATGTAATTAATGAAATGTTTTGAACTTTTTCAGAATACTTTGCTAAACATAGATATTTAACATATACTGAGTTATCAATGCACAATCGTACCAGCATTAACTAACACAGTCAAGATGTTATATGTCTGAGCATGTTGTTGACAATCATTTTCTCTTAAATAATATCTTTTTTACCTATTCCCATATATTATCATTTTAGGTTGAAATGGTGTATTCCTTACTGTCCATGCTTGGTAGCTGTAACAAGGAGGACATGAGCCGAACACTTCTGGAAATGTCCAGTAATCAGGATAGCTGTATTGCCATGAGGCAGTCAGGTAGCAATAAAATTTATGGCAATTTTTATTCTGAAACTTCTGCTTTACTCCTTTTGTATATGCAAATTATTTTGCTTTTGTAGGTTGTCTGCCACTTCTCATACAACTTCTTCATGGAAGTGAACGGGATCAGGTAACATCAGACCAGAGAAGTTCTGAGAATGTTAAATGGGCAGTGAGAGAGGCACGGCAAAGAGCTAGTCAGGCATTGCATAATATTGTGCATGCTCATCCAGATGATCGTAGAGGAAGGAGAGAAGCCAGAGTATTACGCCTTTTAGAACAGATAAGAGATTATTCTGATTTCTTAAGAGACTTAGATTCCAGTAATGTGGATTTCTCTCACAATGGTAATTGTGTTAAGAGTTTTGTTCCTACTATGATGTGTTATTTAGAAAATACTCTTCTTCTCTTAAATATTGAGAAAATACAGAGGTGCTTTGCTTGATTAATGTCACAACAAATGTTGGTACTTCTCCGTTTCACCGGCACAAATCTCGCCAAGCAGAGTTTGTTGGTGACAATATACAGTATACACATAAAAAATGTTAACAAATGTTAATTCTAAGAATTTTTTATTTTGAAGGCATAGACATTTTAATATGGTTTAAAAATTTGTAAAATGCTAATAAATAAAGCAATAAATTTGTAAAAAGACATTAATTTAAGAATTTACTATGCTTTCATGGTTCAACATCCTGATTCGCCAGTTTGTATCACATGACCCCAAGTAATCTCATCTCACGTAAACTATGCTACAAAAATTCTGTCAGTAATTATCTATGTTAATTTCAAGTTAAATCTTAATTTGGAATACAAGTTTAAATGCAAGAATTATTTCAATTCGTACAAATAGCTTACTCAGAAATTATATAAAACCACGTGCTTTTACTTCATTGGTGAATTCTCATTAAAATTGATGAATTTAACTCTTTATTTTGCTTTTTCTATATTTTCGAGTGAGCAGTGTGATTGGATTCTAATTAGCTTAATTACAGCGAATGGTCTTAGGACAAAATTTAACTATCTTGTAAAAATTCTATGTAATTGTATACAAGTATTGCAAGAAACAGTCAATCTGATAAGAAATTACAGTGGCTTGTTTTGAAAGTGAGGCGTAAAACGTTTCCAGCAAAGATATTCTGTTTGGCATCAGTTGTACCATTGTTGGCGACTTTATCGTTTGCGCCGGCAAAACGGAAAAATACCCAAATGTCTTGTATGATAGACGTGCACAAAAACCAAAAAATGTGCTGCTTAATGAATACTGCTCAAATAAAAACTGCATGCAAATATTTTAGCGCATTATCAAGGCAGTAAATATTGAATTAAATTTGTTTGCTTTTTCTTTGGGCAGCATGAAAACACTGAAAATAATCTGTTCATGAACAAAGATAATAAGCTAAGACTTTGAAGAATTGCAAGTCTCTTTGAATAGTAATGAGAGATAATCTGTCATGGAATTTGTCAGTGTAAAATAGTAATATTTTAACCTGTTCATAACCTAAATGTTTTACTACTTTGTCATGTAAACTATTCAAGAGATAGTTTTTTACTTCCCAAAAAAAAAGAGTTCATTAATTTGTTTTAATTCCTCTAAGAGTTAGACTTACACTTATCTAGTCTGTGAATAATACAATCCCTGAGCAGTAAGACCATTAAATATCTGGGAAGAAGTTTTTCTAGTAGAAGAGCAGCACAAATTGTGCCTTTCTAATGCAACCGTTAAGTATCTTTGATGAAATGGGAACAAATCTAACATAAGCCAAGCAGTGACATCCCAGTCAAACTGAAGTGAACAGAGTGGCAAATGTTTTCAACTATTTTTAAGATTGTCCTCGGAGGAGGAGTGGGTAGATAACTTTTTAAAATCAGAACTTTCCCCAAAGGGAAAGGAGGTTAAAGACACTACAGTGTTCCATTTCATAGCAAAAGCTAGAAATGTATCTCAACTAAAATGGCATGACTAAATGCAGTAGATTTGGCTTAATGGGCTTTGTATCTGGCCATATGAGGGGAAAAATAGATAAATGCCTAAACTTCCAACATTTATAACATTTGTAGGAATGTTAATGTGTATTTGCATGCAATTCTTGAAATTTTCTTACACTATTTCAATATTTTAAATAGAGATCAAGAACTGATTGAAATTGGACTTGTAATGAACCCAGCATAACAAAAAATTTTCAAAACAAATGCTCTTCTCAAACCAGTTGTGTTCATTATGTGAAGTACCATTGTTCTTTTTTCTGTAAATTTTGCAAAAAGTTACATTTCAAACTTTTTAACTTTTTGCAACAATATAAAAGTGTTATTAGTTCTAATTTGAAATTAGATTTTTTAAAAAATATTTATTAGGTTTTTTTTTTTTTATTTATTTATTGATTTAAAATTTGCTTTAAACTTAATGATAATGAATATCCATCATATTCTTGCCTAAAACAGGTTAAATTGGAGTACACTAAACTCTGACACTTTTTTTGCATGAAAAACTTACAATACAATACATGTTAGCAGGGGTGATCAATCTTTTCAAAATCAAGAGCCCAATGAAAAAACATTGTTCGTAAAATGAACTCCATTAGTGAAGGGGGGAAGGAATCACATCGCAGGTGCATTTTGGGTGTAAAATTAGCCATCCCTGCTCTAAATTGTTTCTTTATATACCGCCCCTCAAAAAAGATATTGATTAATGCAGATCATATTTATTTTAAAACTGTTTAAATGATACTTTAAAAAAATCTTCAATTTTATTCTGTACATGAGTCATGAGCTTGGTGGTCTTTACAGATTTCAGCAATATTCAGACAACTAAATGATAAAGCCATTCTTTCTGCTTTTCTAAATTTCCCAGTCTCTTGCATTTCTTTGAATCTCCTTTATATATATATATATATTCTTTATTGTTAAGGCAATTGATATTTTAATTTCACCATTTTTCTCTCTTCTACATTGGCTTGAATTCTGCTAGTGGTAGCGGTAGCATTGTTATCACTGATATCAAAACCAGATTTCTTTATGATGAAATTATCCATCACCTGCAATAAAAAATATGTATAAAAATGTAAAATTAATTGTTATTATGAAGGGTTTATGTAAATTTATTTAGCTCAAAAATTGAAATGATACAATTACTGAAAATTGGCAGAGTAAATCACATCGATTTCTTAGATTTAAAATGCAAATTGCTCAGGCATACCTAAGTGTAACACTGTAAAATTGAAAGTGAGCTGTCTTACCAGCAAAGAAAAGATTTCTGTTTGCTTAGTAGAAGCGCACAGCACTGTTTTTGCTTAGTAGAAGCACACAACACTGTTAACATAAAACTCAGAATCGGTTCTTGCCAATTTAATCCTTTTGTACACTCCATTTCCTATTCAAGCCCTTTTTCTTTTGTTTCATGTTTCCATATATCCAATGATGATTGCTTACAATCTTCCTTCTTGGATGACAGCAAATAGACTCTTTCTTAGATGATTATTGTGATATAACTTGCTTGATTTTTCTGTGCTTTTATTAAGTCAAATATTTGATGTCATTTATCATAGCAGTTTAGTTATTTGATGTCTATTAAGTTTGTCCCATCTATAACTAAAATCTTTAACTGTCATTTGCATTTGTTGATTACAGTAGCATATGAAAATTATTCTATAGTGTATCTCTAGAGACCACAGATTGAGAACCACTGCATTATATTATCCAAATAGCCAGCACTAATTATAAATAAAACTTATGTATTGAAAAATTCTTTTAGTATTGCACCTTTAGCAAAAACGCAATGCATAACATTTTAAGAATAAAAACCTTTTGTAACTTAGTATTGATAACAGTTTTCAGGTTTGCTAAACTTCTTTGCAGTTTTACCAAATGCATAGCTCAAGTATATTTTTACATTAAGATATCTGATGCACAGATTTGAATTACTTAATTTTTTATAACTTTTGAATGAACATTTGTTAGAATGCACATACATGCACTTGCTTTGTCTGTACTGTAGTGCTTAGAAGCACTGGGAGATACCCTCTTTTACATCTGTTGTAGACAGGCCATTTCACCATTTTTAGTAACTTGTTCAAAATGTTGACTATTTTAGAGATGTTTGATAAGAGAGAACACTGGGGAAAAGGGAAGATGTTTGGCAAATGGGTCATTATGGCATGACAGGAATCTATATCTGACTTAAAAAAAAAAAAAAAAAAAAAAAAAAACCAAGCTTCTTTGCTGAAAATATGACATGGTATCAAATAGCAAAAACCTTTTTAGTCTCTTTGCTCTAAAGCACAAATTAATCTATTCTGGATGATTTCACTTCATAAATTGCTTTTGCTAATGGCATCTGACAGTTAAATTCAAATACTGTAAGTTTCGCATACACAAAACCACTTTTCCATTAATTTTTTAACCCAGAAATACCCTTTAATATCTTCAAATCAAAATCCCTCCCTTTTGTTAGTATTTTTTGTAAAAAAAACCTGTAACAAAAGGAAAAAAAATAGTCAAGCAGTTAAAATTTATTCTATGTACTATTATTAATTTTATTTTATTGATTTCCTAGAAAATTTGGATCTTCATCCTGGACCTGCAATAGCAGCTCTTATGAAACTGTCATTTGACGAAGAACACAGACATGCTATGTGCCAACTAGGTATACATTTCTTATTTCTTGTGCCTAAAATAGTTCATTTAAAATTCGTAAAGGTATTGTAAAATTCGATGAAATCTCTTATGATGACTTTTGAAGGTGATCATTGTTTCTGAAAACATTAATAAACATCAGTACAGTAAACCCTTCCAAATGTGGGTTTATGGAACGTGATTTTGTGTATACACATTATCTTAATTGTATCTATTTAATTTGTCCAACACAAAAATTTCGATAGTATATGGTACGCCATAGACCTGTTATATACTAGGCCGAGCATCATCATTCAAAACCGGGTGAAAAAGCGGCACAGGAATGAGCTGCAGGAGTTTGGGCATGAAATGGAACTGAACCCAGACTTTGGCGTAATATCGCCACGGCTGGCGATTTTTTCCCTTCTTTTCTCTCAGTTCGAAATGCGAACTTAGAAAGATGTCATTTCGCAGAAGCTGCTGTTGAATTTGCAGAAGAGGTTAGATCAATAAATAAAAAATTAGCCAAAATTAATAATTTTCCTAAAATTGGACACTTTATTTTAAAATTTAGCAAGATAATTTTCATGCTGTAGAATAACATTTTGTAATATAATGTCCATCGGCGTCTACAAAATTAAAAATAAAATTAAAAAAAAAAAAAAAAAAAACTGGAGAGAATAAACTAAATTAATAATAATCTGAAATTAAAAATACAAAATTTCAGTGATAGATTCAAATGCAGAATGATTCTTGATGAATGTTTTTTAGAAGGTAAAATTTAAATAATGTTCATTAATTTTAAAAGAAAACTATTAAAGTTTTGAAATTACTGCTATATAATGACTATTTATTAATAATTAAAAAATTCTTAATATTAAAATAAATGCCGGAAACATGATATAAGAAAGAAAATATGTGATTGAAAGTAAACATATTTGTTATATTTGGATGCAAGAAAAGGGGATAAAATAAGGTCATTCATGTCAAAAAAAAAATCTTAATTTTATGCAGTTCTTACACAGTGTATTACATCGACATTACCAACTGTTAAATACAGTCAAAAGTCGTTAATCCGGACTCGTAGGGACTTCGGCTATTCCGGATTATCGATTTTTCCGGATTATAGATCATCAGTTTAAATCTGGTAACATGGCATGCAGAAATTATAAAATTAAAAATATGAAACCGTAATTTATGAAATAAAGAACAATTATGATCTAAAGGGTATCAAAATTTACAAAAAAAAAACCTTAATATTTATTTGTTTACTTTATTAAACATTTCTTTCAATGTAAGTTGTTTAAGTTGCTTCGTTTTCTGTGATAATACTTTCTCTTTAATTCTATAAACAGACATAATTTCTTGTTCGATTACAAAGTTCCGCTGTTCAAGTCCCGTAATTGCTGTGCCGAGAATACCGACTTACTTGTCAATCGAAATGTTTTCGTTTTCAATAACCTCTGGGTCACTTTCTTCACTATCGGAAGCGAATTATAATCACGAGGAACTTGATTTAAATCATATCAAAGACAGAGTACATCGAGATAAAATACTACACATAGTAAGGAATTATAAGCCAAATAAAATAAAAACATCTGCCCTGAAGATAAGGATAGTGCTGACAGATCAACTTCCAATCCTGGCGTGAAATTGATAAACAGATTTCGGATTTCAAAACATACTTTCGCTTTGTAGATACAAATTACATATTAGTAAATATATATTGGAAATTCTATTTGACATAATCGAAAGTTCAAGCTTACTTTTATGAAATTGCTCTAACAGTCTACAAAAAATAATAAGCCGGATCCAATTCGAAGATTAAGGAACAACGCAATCTGCAACATTAACTGAATTAGATAATTTTAGCTCAGCTTATATCTCCGTTACACATTAAATGCGCATGCGCACAAACATATTAGCAGCCGTAAAGGTCTTACATGCTCTCGTAAACGCCTGTGCGCATGCGCACAAACATATTAGCAGCCGTAAAGGTCTTACGCGCTCTCGTAAACGCCTGTGCGCATGCGTGAATGCGACGCATGCGCAGAAAGTTTGTAGCTTTGAGGTCCGGATTATGGGTGTCCGAATTAACGACTTTTGACTGTACATACATTACTACAGCATAAGCAAATACATACAAAGAATATATAAACAAACGCATTTAAAGCAAAGTCTGGTGGCGTATCAAAAATGTCGCCAAAGCAGAATACTAACTAAAATTATATATCATATTACTAAAATTTTAACATTTTTTTCAGAACACAGTTATTAAAAACACACATATATATTAAGATACTTTTGTTTAAATGTTATTTCAAGTATGCATTTATTATATAAAATTAGAAAATCTATTTTTATTAGAAAACAGTAAGTAGGTTGAATTAAAAAAAAACCTCTACATTTTATAAAAAATAGGTTTTAAAACAGTAGAAAAAGCTCACCTGTGAAATGTTACTCCTCCACCTTTCACATATCTGGAATTACATCCATATGCGGAGCACGAAAGTACCATTTTTGAAGTCCGAAATAATGTGTGTATTTGCAAAACACTTGCTTCTCACAAATTCTCCATAGAACTATAGTGATAAGGAAGATCCGTGGGAAATACAATCTGGGAACTGTTCCATATGTCCCTGAGTGGGAACAGGTTCCCATTCCTGTTCCCACTCAGGTTTGCCATTTCTCTCTCTAGTACATTACAGCTCTATGTGGTATGCTGCAGAGCATCAGCCACATTGTTATAGGTATCTTTAATGACTGCTTTGAGAATTTGTTTATTAAAGAAGTCAAACACTGCTTATAATAACAAAATGTGAACTTTAAAGTTCTCCTAATGCTCACTAATATTCCAGGATATGGAGCTGAAGCCTTCACAACATTGCATCCAAATGTAGAGGTTGTATCTTCTGCAGAACACCACTTCCTTAATCCAATCAATGGATAAAGGAATCATAAAAACATTCAAAGTCTGTTACATCAGACATGTTTATATTGCTGCAAATAAACAATAGACAAAGGAAAGCACGCTACACTAATGCCATTTTAGACATAATGTAAGATAAGACATTGCATAGAAATGATTAAACTCACTTGAGAACAAGTGTATTCATAAACTATGAATCCTTGTTGGCATCAGCTCCAGCAAAAAGTTGTTGACAGTTTTATAGGATATCCATCGATAGAAAATGAAGCTAAGGAAATTGGCCACATTGCAAAAAGCAATAGGCAGATAAGTGTTTTAAGATATAGAAAAAGGAGAAATCAAAGAATTAGTCGAGAATAATGATCATGAAATGACAAATGAGAATGTATGATTTTACAACACCAACAGAATGCAAAAGCAGCAGTAGTGAAGAAGATAAGGAACTTTTAAAGTGCAGGAAGTTAAGTTAAAAAGGGAACAGGAACTGTCTTGATTTTTTAATGGAGAGTGACTGTAATGAAGAAATAAGAGGATACTTTATGGCATTTATTTAAAAAATGGTGTGCAATCCTTACCACAAAACACTTGAGTTGCATCAGGCATTGTCCTGAGCAAAAATCACCAGCTGTTTTTGAAAAGTAATTTTATCATGTGCTTCTTATTCAGTAGCAATAGAAATCCTTTCAAATAACATTTGTCTCACTTTCCCCTTTCAGTTATGATAGTATTTATATTTGTTTAAATTAGCATACTTTCTTAATTGTAACTATACCTAAACCAGTTTTTCCATAAAAAGTTAATTTTGTAGAAAAGGATTTTGCTATATGTGCTGTATGTTAATGATGTAAACCCCACATTTGGCAAGGGTTTACTGTTTTGAGCATTACCTTTTGAAGTTTAATCTTCGTAGGAGGCTAAAATCATCTGGAATCTTTATTGCCCCCTTTTTTAGAAAAGGTTCATCTTATTATGAGGAACATTAGTGAATAAGTTACAAACTGCTGTGGGATAATCAGAAGTAACCACAAGTAGCATCTAAAGCTTCATCAGATAGTAATACAATCATATTTCATGTTGATTCAGTGAACAACACAACCAATCGTTGGGGTTGTGGTTATGCAGTGTGGAAATTGCTATAATACTGCAACTTTGGATTTTCAATTTTTCAAAAACAACCAGTTCTGCTAAACCCTAGTACAGTAAGACCCCGCTTAACGCTGTTTCGTTTAGCACTGTTTCGGTTTAGCGCTCTTTTATTTCAACCCGGGGATTTCCCGAAATTGCTCGCAGCGCTAGGTTTCCAAATAACATATCTGAAACAGTGTAATTGTGTTTCTTGTTTGGTGCAGTGCTGTATGGAAGCATTTTTATCATTTGAAGCATTTGTTGACATTATTGTAAGTATAAATTTATATAATACTATAATGATTACTACAGTGGCAAATATTATGATCTTTAGTTTTTATCATGGGTGATAATAAAAAACAAGAAAAGAAAGCAACCAGAAAAAGCATTTCACTGGAAACTAAAATGCAAGTAATCAGAAGATTAGATTCTGGTGAACATCAATCTCAAATTAGTGCTGCATTGAATTTGGCAACTTCAGCAATAAGGGCAATTCTTAAGAATAAAGAAAAAATACTGTCATCGGCAACTGCAACTACATCAAGCTCTGCAACTAGAATTACCCGTTTTAGAAATAACATTATAGAGTAAATGGAAAAATGACTGTCTATATGGATTGATGACAAAATTGAACGCAATATGCCATTAAACCAATCTATCATAACGGAAAAAGCTAGAAGAATTTTTAATTATATTCAGGCTGAGGCAAGTGGCATAAGTGAAACTTTCGTTGCTAGTCGAGGATGGTTTAATAGATTTAAACATCGAAATAATCTTCACAACATAAAGATTACAGGAGAAGCAGCAAGTGGGATACGAACACGACGGCTGAATTCCCAGCGACATTAAAATCAATAATTGAACAAGGAAACTATCCTCCAGAATTGGTGTTTAATATTGATGAAACAGGCCTGTTTTGGAAAAGAATGCCAAAACGAACATTTGTATCCTATGAAAAGAAACGAGCATCAGGATTTGAAGCTGCAAAAGATCGCTTAACACTTCTACTGGGTGGTAACGCAAACGGAGATTTCAAATAAAAACCACTACTAGTTTACCACTCCAAAAACCCAAGATCAATGAAAGGCGTATCTAAATCAACTTTACCTGTAATTTGGGAGTCTAATAAAAAATCATGGATAACTATGAAAATTTTGGTTCACTGAACATTTCTGCCCGTCTGCTAAACGTTATTGCTAAATTAAAAAACTTGAACAAAGAACACTACTATTAATTGATAATGCTCCAAGCCACCCAACAAATTTATCAGACATAACAACATGCATTTCAGTCAAAGTGGTTTTCTTGCCACCTAACACAACTGCCTTAATCCATTCAATGGACCAAGGCGTTATATCCAATTTTAAGGTTTATTACTTGCGGTGAACATTTAAGCAGATGTTTGAAAAAACAGACGGAGAAGAGAAGTAAGCAATCAATAAGAGAATTTTGGAAAAACTACAATATCATGAATGCTGTAGAAAACATAAACCTTTCTTGGAATAAGACAACAGAAAGATCTTTGAAAGAAGTATTGAAGAATATTTGGCCAGATTTAAGTAAGAGTGAAGACATTGGAAACTCTGTCGATATGGATGAAATAGTGGAATTAGTGAAACAAACTGGTTTAGATGAGGCAAATGTGGAAGACGTCGAAGAAATAGTTCAAGAAACAGCAGCTAGTCTTTCTAATGATGAGCTCAAGGAATTAACTGAGCAAGAAGAAAACAAAAATATTGATCGTAGTAATTTCGAAGAAGAGAAAAAAGAACTTTCAATGGCATTTGTAAAAAGGAGTTTGACCACTATAACTGAAATTATGGACCTATTTCTTCAAAATGATCAAAATTTTGACAGGAGTTCAAAAGCAAGACAGGGTGTTATAGATGCTTTATCCACTTATCAACAACTTCTAACAGAATGCAAAAGGAAAATGCAAACTACATTAGATGCCTTCTTGACAAAAAGGCAGAAAATTGGAAACACAGAATAGACTGAATGATCTGACTGAGAATTTTATTTGTTTTTATAAGTATATTCGTTTATATTGTTTTTATTTTTGTAAGAAATAAATGTTTGGTTTTATTTTTATTAAAAAAACATTATTAAATTTAATACCTAACCAATTTTCTATCCATCTTCCCCTAACCCCATTATTTACATGTTAAGATAGCTTCGTTTAGCGCTGTTACTCTCTATTTTGATGGAACATATCCCCGCGTTAAGCGGGGTCTTACTGTATATAGTTTTATCATGATAAGGTCAGGATTTGTGTAGGAAACCCAAACCCTGTTATGGAATCCCATGTCCCAGCTTAGTTCCAAGGGATTTTTTTCATTGGTTTATTACCTTGAAAACTCATTTTGACAGTACATTTATTTTTATTTTTTTAACTATCTATCGATAAAAATAATCATTATACTCTTTTTTAACATTTATCATGGATGGTATTAACATTAAGCAAATCAACTGTATATGGTTACAGAAAGATATGTAAACACTTGGATGCAACAAATATTAAAACACTCATACACTGAACAAGATAAAAATCTCAATATTGGTGAAGGATATATGAAAAAAATAAAACACATTGCTGCTTAAATATTGCATGCAATGTAATTTTATATGGCCATTTGTAACCCATTTACTATGTATGTCGTAATTTGTAACCTATTTACTAGGTATGCTGTGATAGGATTAATGTATGTTTTAATAGGAACATGGAGTTTTTAATTCTTTGTTACAGTTGTTCAGTTACACATTCAATAATGTGTTGTTTGGTAGTCGACGTACAAAATATTTATAGTTGAGCTGCTTAAATGTGTATTTAATTTAATTATACAACATGTTAAAGCATTTTGAATGTATTTTTATGTTTATGTGCTTCCTTTTTGGCAAGTCTTGTGTCTATTAATTTTAATATCTTTCTTCTTTTAAGTCTGTTTAAATGACTGGAGAGATTACGTAATTTTTTTTAAAAAAGTATTTAATTTAAAGTAATTTAATATATTGAGTAGCATTGTTAAACTAGGCGTAGACCATAAGAAATGTACAAGATAAGAGTAATAGAGTAATAATTACTGGATATAAAATAACATTTATATGTCCATGTTAAAGCACCTGAGTAATTAATGTAAACGTCATATTTAATTGAGCCCTAAATATTTTGGTGTCTTTTGAAATAACATAAGAATGATTTCCTGGTAGCTTTGCATCTGGTATCTGTAAGAAAATTAATCTTCAGTTAAACTACAGCAAGCTAAAAAATCAAAGAAATAGTGCTAAAATTTTGAGTAATCTGTCATTCAAATTATTAGAATTTTTAACAAATCCCTCTCACAAAAACATCTAAAACTTTATTTAAATATGCAACTAAAATTTTCAATGCAAGTTGGATATTATATTACATACCTTAGAGATGAAAATTATTTTATTAAAATATGATCAAGTTTTATTAATTGTATATTTATATAAAAAATGTCTGTGTTAAGTGACAATTTTGTGAAATCATACAATTCTAATGGAAAATTCGATAGCATCTGTTCTCTTGAAAGCAGTAATAGAAGTTAAAAACTTTCTTTCTATTTGGTAGTAGTTATTTCTCAATAGTGAAAATATTGCATTAAAATATGAATAAAAATAATCTAGCAAAAATAAAAGCATCAAATAAAACTGTATAATCTCAAACAAATTAGTTTTTCATTAACCAAAATGAAAATATGGTTAAAATGAATTCCAGATTTTCAGTAATAGGGCATAAAATGGTAATTGATGATTTATGTGACCAATTATGGTGACCAACTTATTGGTGAGAGATAAAAAATTACTAACTATTACTAACCCTGTTAAAACATAACACTAGATTAAATTTTATATTTCAAATACACTAGATTTAACACTAGATTAAATTTTATATTTTAAATACAATATATTCGAACTATCCAGAAAGCTCATTTCCAGATACATTAAAATTCTGAATAATCGAATGTATAAGAAATGGAATTCTCAACAGAAAAACTAAATGAATGAGGGGGGTGGATTGTGGTGTAAAGAGGAGTAACTAAAAGAGTAATTTGTAACTAAAAAAAAAAAAAAAAAGAGTCATTTTATTTGTCCTCAACTGGAATATCAAACTTCTGCATTCAAATTATATGAAATTTTAAAAGAAAATAACACTTCAGACATAGATACCATAAGACATATTTGAGTATGAAAATCCATCAATCATGAAAACTGATTGAGATCTTACCAAACTTGCATCAGTCATTGCATTTAATTGTATATCTTGTAATTCTGAATTGATCAATGTTTAAAATATGGAAATGGCTCAGTTAGAAGCCAAGATATAGGCAGAAATTCTTCCTTGCACCATTTTAAAATTTAGCCTGCAATAATATAAACCATTCTTATTAGTTTATAATTTAATGTTGTGCCTACTATGTTTACATTGGTTATAGAGAAACTATATACATTTTTAATTTTGGGGAATTTTGACTTCTTAAAAAAAACTGTCATTACATACTTTATTTTATCAGGAAATTGTGAATCAAAATTAAAATATCACATATGTAAGATTTTATTGCATGTCTACTATTTTTGATAAATATGCTTTATGAATATTTTAATCACAGGAGGTTTGCAAGCCATCGCAGAACTGATTCAAGCTGACCATGAAGTGCATGGAAATACCAGTGACCAGTTTTGTGTCACCGTTCGCCGCTATGCTGGAATGGCTCTTACTAATCTGACTTTCGGCGATGGAACAAATAAAGCTCTACTATGCTCCATGAAGCCCTTCATGCAAGCCTTAGTAGCACAGTTACATTCACCAAATGAGGACCTCCGGCAGGTAAAGAAGATTCAAGTTTTTATAAATATCTATCAGTTATAACAGTTAAAACATTTAGTAAGAAAAAATGGCAGATGCTACATTCAAGAAAATTTAAATTAAGGTGAATATGCTTGTGAAGAGAAAGTAATAGCATGGGTCCCTTACTTCCATGATGTGAAAGATATCATCAGAGTCTGGCCTGCAACTTAAAGACATTCATATTTAGGCTTATTCCTTTTTCTATTTGTTAATTTGTACTTTCAGGTTCAGAGTTCTCGTTCATCCCATACAAGTGGAATTCTGCAGATCTGATTTCTTTATATTTTTTATTGTTAAACTCTGATTTGCTTGAAATAACTAGTCTTATCCTTAAGCCTGCAACACAGATTTTCATCCCAGCTTCTGTTAAAAACTCAGAAGGCCAAATGGAATACAACAGTAATGGAAAATAGAATTTACTTTTAAAATCAATATCAAATACAGACTAAAATCAATCAACGTAAAACAACTTCCTCTTCCTGCAGGAATAACTGGCATTATAAAAATTCAAATTATTCTCAGTTACAATTATACACTTAAATTCTAGAACCTGGCTTGTTACATACTGCGGTAAATTAACTGCTAAACAGTTGCCAAATACAAAATCGCCAGATCATAGATTATCACTCATGCCAGCTTCAACACAGAAGAGTTTGCTTTAAACTGACAACTGATGCCAGTCCTGACTTCTGTAACTTAAAATTTTTATTCCATTTTAAACATCTCTGATTTGCATATTTTGGTGAAAGAAGATGAAGTGGAAAGAGTATAGAATAGATCTTAACATAAGCAAAAATGTGTTATTGTTAAATAAAACCTTACAAAATAAAATCAGAGTAGTCCTCGATTTCAATATTTAACACGTAAAGGATTACTTTCGCATGAAACCTAAAATATTACTGCTAAAAAATATGCTTTTTTTAAATATTTAAATATCCACTCATGTTTATTTAGTAATTTATTCCTAATTTATTATATCTGATTATGCTGTAGGATACATAGCAATTTAATATTTTAAATATTTTGGAAACAAAATTATCAACATGTTTCTGTCTGAGTTGTTACAAATTAGGAAAAAATATTATCGAAAAAAGTTTTATACAAAAATCATTTAGTCATTTTTGCTGAAGAGAAGACTTGCAGTAGAACGCTAATTATTTAATAAGCAGAATTGAATAGTGGTAGGATAACAGAAATATTTTGCTGCTGTTCTGCACACGTTGGGAGCACTTCATTTGGTTCTGCACACGATTTTATTTTCCAGTCACCACCATTATTCTTTCAGCAACCAAATTGAATACAAATATTTGAACTCATTGCCCTTTATCGATCCTTTTCAAAGTCTCAATTGTCTGATTACTAATAATATTGCTTTATTCTACTTTTCTTTGATACTTTGCAGAAGAAACATATGCTAGATTAAAACTTGAATAATTGTATGAATGGAACAGAATCAGGCAATCATATAAAAATGGTGATATGTTTCTTATACACCCGAATTATTATCATCTCAAAAATTTGTCTTATTTTCTGTGTTTCATATATATTTACATATGAACACAGAAAATAAGACAGAATTTTTAAGGTAATTTAATTTTATTTAGATTTTATCTATATATATGTAAGAATTTTTTTATATATTTATCAAAAAGATTACCCTTTATCCTAGGAAAAATTATTTAGGGTATTAATATTGGTTTATTTTAATTGGTAATAAAATGTAAAAACTGGAAAGTTTTTTTTTTCCCCTAAAAAGCGTATTAAAGTTTTAAAAAAAATATTTATGGAAGAAACAAATAAAAACTATTAATCACCTTCTATTTAATGCTTCAAACAGAGCTTTTCAAGTGGTTAGTATTTAAAATATAAAACCCAGATGATTAATGTGTGCTGAACACACGTTTTATTCTTCCTGCCATTCATTATGTGATCCAAACTGCTCCTAATTAATTGTCCATAAATACAAATTACTATTTCTAAAAATCTGATAATGACAAGAGCTACCCTGATGTGCTTCTGCACGCTACAATAAGAACAAACCCATAATCAAACTAAATTGAAATGCAAAAATGATACAAAAAAAGAATTTACATAGAGGTGAAAACCTTCAAAAACTTTACATAAAAGATATGAAAGCCTTATTATTTTTAATAAAGTATGAAAATGCATGAAATATTGTTTTCCCTATTCTGTCAATTTGCACCTTATTTGAGCTTGACTTCTATCAAGATTTTAAGATGATATTGTGTCTTTTCTATATTTAGTGTATTGCATTATCACTTTCATCTGTTTTTAATAACTTGAGATCTGTGTGTTGAGATATTTGTAATCACATTCTTACTGGTTAAAAGGAAGTATAGCTTTGTGTCAAGTCCAATACATTCATTAGCTTTCAGCCAGGTCCGAGTTATTCTGAACTTAATCTCATTCTTTATGTTACTTTTGATTGGTTATTTATTGTGTCTTGTTTATGATTTGTTAAACCATGATCTGTTGTAAAGTTATATTATATGACCTCTGTTACCACTTATTGCTGCTTAGTATTATTCTGCCTGTACTTATTTATCTGTGCTAGTGCTTGTACTTACTTATTTCTGCTTGCATGTAACTCTGCGTGTATCTCTGCATATCTCAGTAATAAACATTTGCTTTGCGAACCACGGCATTTTCTATGTTTAACAGCAGAGCGTCGTTCCTTTAAAAGTTAGAATTCGCTGATAGTTCCCTAACTGAACCTTCAGTGTAATAATTTATCGTTCGCGTGATTTTGATTTGGTGTATTGTGAATGATGGCTTTTTCCGGAGGTGAAAGGGAAGCTTTTGGTGTAGCGCCATTTGACGGTGTTAATAACTTTACTGTTTGGTGTCGAAGAGTTCGAGCAGTATTTACAGCAAGGGAATTGGATACGTTTTTGGAAACAGAAGCAGTTGCGGACAGAGTTGCAGATGTTTTGAAATCAAAAAAGGCTTATGCCTTAATACTTCTAATGTTATTGCTTCTCTTCAACGTGAAGACACGGCATGTAAAATATGGAAGAAACTACAAGCTACGTATAGCGCTAAAGGTGCAGTGAGTCAAATTTTAACGCGTAAACGTCTAGCTACCATAAGGAAATCCAAGGATGTGTCAATGAGACAACATATCGACAGCATAATGAACCTGGTGAGTAGTCTACGCGTCTCTGGCTCTGAAGAATTGTGACGCGTCTCTGGCTCTGAAGAATTGTGATTGTGAATCACTTATGTTTGATTATAAAAATGAAAATAAGTATTCTAAACCAAATATAGATAACTCGGTTTTTATTAGTGCTCGTAAAGACTTGTTTTGTAGTTATTGTAAAAGAAAAGGACATTCTGTTAAATTTTGTAGGAAAAAGAACTGCATCTGTCATAACTGTGGGAAAACTGGTCATTTTAAAAGTGAATGTTTTGATAATTCTAAAAAGCAGGCAAATTCAAATAGTAATAAGTATGCATCCTCTGCAATATCTTTTATGGCTGGAAATCTGGTGCATGATCAATTTATTATTTGATTCTGGTGCAACTTCTCATATGTCTTCTCACAAGGAATGGTTTACCTCAATTAAGCCCTAAGACTTGGAACTGTTAAGTGCGCGTCTAAGTTGGCGGTTTTTAGAAGTGGAAGGAATTGGTGATATTTGCGGTAAAACTAAAAATAAGAATGGTGTTGAAATAATGTTAAAAGATTTCTATCTTTACGTTTCCAAAACTAACAATTTTTGAAATACTGTTAATAAACGATGTTCTTTATGTTCAATTAAACGGTTTCTGTCAAAAATATTGAAGCAGCAGGTTTGAGCGTAATTTTTTTAAAAATGAAATAGTTTACATTGAAACAAAAACAAGCGTTTTAGATTTGGATACTTTTGGACAAATGCGGACAATATTTTAGTGATTTTTCACCAAATCTATTTACAGCTTTAGCAGTAAAGAATGATGATTTATGGCACAGAAGGTTAGGACACTGCTTGTGATCAAAAATTAAAACTAATGAATCTTCCTGTAAAGAATCCTTTGTGAAGTATTGTTCGTGCCAAACAAAGTGCTTTGCCTATAGGAAAGGGTCCTCGCATAAAAGAATCCAAACCGCTTATAACTATACACACTGATATATGTGGTCCAATAGAACCTCAAAAAACACTCCATGAGGAAAGGTATTTCATGACTATAATTGATGACTATTTGAGATTTATGGAAATCATACTGTCAAAAGAAAAAGTGACATTGCTGATGAACTCAACCTATTCTTTAAATTGAATCCAACTGTTACAAAACTGCGCTGTGACAATGCGAAAGAATATGTCAGTGGAGAATTGCATGAAGTTGCTAAAAGAGCAGGTGTAAAAATAGATCCTGCACCTCCCTATACACCTTTTCTAAATGGTGTTGCTGAACGAGCAAATAGAACTGTACTGGAAAAGGCTAGAGCAATGATACTTGAGGCAAAATTAACAAAATTCCTTTGGGGTGAGTACACACACACAAGTGAGTACACAAGCAGTACGTACGGCTGCTTACGTAAATAATCGACTCCCAAATAGTTCAATTGAAAATCGTGTTCCTTATTTTTTGAAGTATGGTGAAGATCCTGATTTAACAAACATTCCTGTATTTGGCTGTGATGCTTATACTCTAGTGCCACCATCGCAAAGAAAGAAACTAGATGAAAAATCTGTCAGAATGATATTTGTAAGTTATTCCACGATGGGATATCGTTTAATGATTCCAGAAACAAGACGCATCATTGTTTCCAGAAATGTTAAATTTAATGAAGAAAAGAAAGAAAGAAGAAAGTAGAAATCAAAATATATTTCCGATAGTTCTGATTTGAGTGAAAATGACAATGATGACATTAAAAATGAAGACAAATCAATTTCAGACACTGATAATGGCGAATTAAATGCTGCAAATAAGAAGGAGGAACAAAGAGAAAAGAAGAAAATCTTCAAGAGAAAGAAACAGCCCGTTTAGGTATCCTGATTCCTGAGATTTACCAGTAATGTTTGCACAAGACACTCTGACATTTGAAGATATTGTAAATCTACCATAGTAGAACAAGAACCATGGAAAAGAGCTATGGATGAGGAATTGAAATCTATGGAAGATAACACGTCTGGGATCTACAAAGTTTACCCCCTGATAAAAGAGCTATTTCCTGCAAATGGGTACTACGTAAAAACGAGATGGAACTTACAAAGCTTGTGCTCGTGGCTTTATGCAAAAGGAAGGCATAGATTATACAGAAACGTTTTCTCCAGTGATTATAGTGCTCTTACATTTATCCTGGTAATTATCAAATGAAGGTTTGCAAAACTTTTACTTTAGATGTCAAGACAGCTTCTTGAACGGTAAGAAGATAGATGAAGTCACCTACATGGACCAGCCAAAAGGATATGATGATATGAGTGGTAAGAAATGTAAACTTAAAAAGAGTTTATATGGTCTTAAACAGTCTCCTCGGCAATGGTATCAGAAATTTTTTAATTTTGTTATTAAATTAGATTTTAAGCAATTGGACTCTGAACCATGTATTTTTATCGGAAATTTAAATTGTAAGAAAGTAACTGTGGCTCTTTATGTAGATGACTTATTAATTGCAGGTTCAGATGTAAAAGAAACAAATATTATAATATCATTGTTATCAAATGAATTTAAAATGTCAAAATCTGAAAGTGTCTCAGAATTTTTGGGTATTAGACTGAAATTTGAGTCTGGTTGTTTGTATTTAGATCAGAAACCATATATTGAAAAATTACTTGATAAATTTAAAATGTCTGATTGTAAAACAGCCCAAACTCCCATTAAACCAAAATCTACAGCAGCTGATTTTCAGAAAAGAAATGCATTTCATGGCCCATACAAAGAATTAATTGGATCTTTACTTTACTTAGCATATATCACAAGGCCAGATATTGTGTTTGCAGTAAATTACTTAAGCCAACTGCAGGAGCATCCTACTGATGTTGCCTGGTGTGCTCTAAAAAGAATTCTTAGGTACTTGAAAAACACCTTAAATTTAAAATTGATATACAAAAAGGGTGATTTGCAAAGGGCAAACTTTTGTTTGTATGTAGATGCAGATTGGGGGGAGATACTCAAGATAGGAAATCAATTACTGGTTACTTTATAATGTTTTCAAACTGTCCTATTATGTGGTGCTGTAACAAACAAAAGTGTATTGCACTTTCATCAACAGAAGCTGAAATAATTGCTTTATGTAAAGGTATTCAAGATGTTTTAAGGATAAAAAAAATGTAGTAAATGAAATTTCCAGTGTTAAAAATGTTTATATTTTTGAGGATAACCAGTCATGTATCAAAAGTATTGTTAATGAAAACTTTTCAGGTAGGTTGAAACATATAGATATAAAATTAAAGTTCACTCGTAAGACTGTTGTAAGGAAAATAATATTAGAATTGAATATGTACAATCAGGTTTACAAATTGCAGATATGTTAACTAAGGCTTGTCGAAAACAAAATTCTATGAACTGTTATCATTGAGCTGTTTAAAAATTGTGTAATTATTTTATGTTTTGGATAATGTGCGATTAAGGGGAGTGAGATTTGTAATCGGTTTGAGGGGGGGGGGGGGGGGGTCTTGGGGGGGGGGGGGGGGGGGGGGGTGGGGGGGGGGGGGGGGGGGGGGGGGGGGGGGGGGGGGGGGGGGGGGGGGGGGGGGGGGGGGGAATTGTGTAATCGCATTCTTACTGGTTAAAAGGAAGTATAGCTTTCTGTCAAGTCTGATACATTCATTAGCTTTCAGCCAGGTCCGAGTTATTCTGAAACTTAATCTCATTCTTTATGTTACTTTTGATTGGTTATTTATTGTGTCTTGTTTATGATTTGTTAAACCATGATCTGTTGTAAAGTTATATTTATGACCTCTGTAACCACTTATCGCTGCTTAGTATTATTCTGCCTGTACTTATTTATCTGTGCTAGTGTTTGTACTTACGTATTTCTGCTTGCATGTAACCCTGCGTGTATCTCTACATATCTCAGTAATAAATATTTGCTTTGCGAACCACAGCATTTTCTATGTTTAACACCGTGTGTATAAAGTCGTTCATCACGATATAACATAACATAACATTAGTGGCACTTCCTTCTTAAGAAAAGAAGGAAAAGAGCTTAGGCAATTTATTACATGATGATCAGAGTTGTTTATGAATTGATAAAAAAAATTTTAACTAAAGATCTCCTTAATACTATAGGAAGGTTCACAAGACTGTTTATAATAAATAATTGTTTAAATATATTTTATTGGTTTTCTGGAAAGTGTGTGACCTATTATTTGTTTCTGATTAAGAAATTTTGTATATTAGGATATTTTTATTTATCTGTACTAAAATGATAATATTTTTGATAGGTTACAGCAAGTGTATTGCGTAATCTGTCTTGGAGAGCAGATGCTTCTAGTAAGCAGATCCTCAGAGAAGTTGGTGTTGTCACCACACTTATGAAAGCAGCAATGGAAGCCAACAAAGAATCAACATTAAAGAGCATATTATCTGCATTGTGGAACCTTTCGGCACATTGCAGTATGAATAAAGCTGATATCTGTGAGATAGATGGAGCTTTGGAATTTTTAGTTTCCACTCTCACATATAAAAGTGCTTCAAATACATTATCCATCATTGAGAATGGTGGAGGTATTCTTCGTAACATTTCCAGTCACATTGCTGTGCGAGAAGATTATAGACAAATTCTAAGGAAGCAAAAATGTCTCCAAACTTTGCTTTGCCATTTGAAATCTCCTAGTCTTACCATTGTAAGCAATGCATGTGGAACTCTGTGGAACCTATCTGCAAGGTGTGCCGAAGATCAACAAGCATTGTGGGAAATGGGTGCTGTTGGCATGCTTAGAAATCTGGTTCATTCAAAGCATAAAATGATATCAATGGGCAGCTCTGCAGCACTGAAAAATCTTCTTGCTGCTAGACCAGAGGGCATAGGAATTGGTTTGGGACCACATACTGAAAATGGACATCATCTCAATGGAGGGACAACTAATATGCCCAGTTTACTAGTCAGAAAACAAAAAGCTCTTGCAGCTGAAATTGATGAGAATCTCTCAGAAACCTGTGATAATATTGATAGTCCTAAAACCAGTCCTACTCCTTGCAGTGATTTTGCCAAGAAATTCATGTATGAAAATACTGGCATAAATTGTCTGGATCGGAGACCTCAGTTTTTGTCGTACTTACCTGGCAGAATGTACCACAGCATTAATGGACATGTAGGCTCTCCGATTCGAGTTCCTCGCTCTGAAAGCAAAGATAGTCTTGGAAGTACTCGCTCAGAACCACCTCACTATAAAGCACAAAGAGAAAGATTTAAAATATATATTAATAATAATCGGGGTATGATGCTAGATAGTAAAACTGTCCAAGAAAAACCTACGGAATGGAAAGAAAGAACTAACTTACCATTTGAAGGTAACAGTAATGTAGTTTTACAGTTGTTTAGGCATTTACAAAATGGAACGAGTTCTAATACAGTTCTGGATGCTGCTAATCAAATTAAAAAAATTTCTAATCATGACAATAAACCAGCTGTTAGACCTACTACTTTGCCACAACCAAAAAGGGGTGTCTGGAATGTGCGAAATACCAAATATGCAGGACAAAATAGTTCTCATAATGGTTTGCCTTTGTTGCAAAATGAAAATGGCTTTGCAAATTCAGAAACTAATGGTCATGCATATGAAATTAATCAAATTGATAATCTTAAGCCTAGTGAAACATGTAATGGTGTTCAAATTAATAATCTTCGGGAAATTCCAGGAAACAGGCGAATCTTTACCAGTAGGCATGACTCTGAAACATCATCAGATGCTGGAAGAAGTACTCTTTCATACAGTGGATCTACATTGTATGGAAACATACCTGATTCTAAGGAGCAAGAAGAAAAAGCCAAAGTTAATGTTGTGCTGAGGAAAAAGAAGACAAATGACACTTTATCATCATCAGCTGTCATGCTAAATAGAGGTAAGACTGTAACAATGAAAAAATAATGCTTATGCAATTGATATTTTTAATTGTAATTACTATTTAATGTGCCACATATTACTGAATATAAGTCACTCCATGTAAAAATTGACAGGTAAGATTTTACTGCCAAAATTAAATACCCATTTATAAACTGAATGTAAAATTGCCCTGTAAATACTTGTATGTTTTTACCTTATATATGCAAGATTAAAAAATGTAAAATAAAATATTTTTAATTTTCAATAGTCATTTAACTCTTCTTTATAATTTGGGTATTTCCCCTTTCTGTCAAAAAATGTAACATGTTTATATTAAATTTCTCTGAATTGCATCGATGCTTACATAATGCTGATGGTGCAAGTACTTGCATAATGATTCAACCAATAATTATGTTCAAAATTGTGACCTGAAATTTTTAAAATCAATCACAGTAATGTTGAACAAAAACTCAATAATTAACTTACCCTTTTAATGGAATTTGGACATTCTTTTCCCGCTTCTCTGTTCTGCTGTCATGCTTTATGCTATTTCTCTTTCTTGTTTCAAATAAATTAAGGATGTATGAAAAGACACAAAGTAGTTGTCAGGAAAGAGTGCATGTATTGTGCCAGCTTGTCAAGAATAAAATTGTATTAAATCGGCCACTGTAACTACTGATGTCTTTATGCACCATCGCTGTTACATTAAATTATTACATATATGTATCCAAAAAGGCAAATAGCTAGGTCATCTAATCTATCTAGTCGAACTAAAGCCAACTGCCAGTCACCTTCAGCTTCCATTCAAAAGGTATTAAAAAGAGGTAGCTAAAATGTTGGGAAAATTATTGTCGAAGCCTTGTTTAGAAAGTAAGAGACATAGAATAGTAACCATAGAAATGTAGGAGATTATGATGTTATACCTTGAGAGTGATGAATTAAGCAATGCATATTTCAGTAAATCAAATACTAATCCAATATGGAGCATTGGGGCTTTTAGATAATAAAAACAAAGGCAGTAAGAATAATGAAATGTGTATTTATAGCAAATCATGGTTGGTTTCATTCATTCAAAGTCTGTTCAAATGTAAGCAGCATTAAAATAATGGATGATGTAACAGTAATGCAGTTAAGAATTTCTGACATTATGGTGGAAAAGCAACTAATTGAGTAATCTTTATCATAAACTCTTAATAAATAGACATGTTCTTTCTTGGTGTCATGTTATTTGCAATAAAATTGCAATATTTTTCATCACAATAATAACACATGACTGATAAAAACACTGATTTTCAATTGTATTACAACTTAAAACCAAATTTTTTTCACAATATGTGCTTCCAAATTAGAATATGATGTACTAAAATTAAAATGTCCTTTCTTTTTGTCATGGTAAAAGGTGGTTCATACTAAAATTATTTCAAAAGAACCAAAATTAGCTTTCTTGAATTCCTACTGAAGTTAATTTTGTATTTTGTAAAATGATTTCCAATGAAATATCAACAAATCAAAGTGCAACTCATAAAGTTGGATAAAAAATAATCACAGATTATTTCATGACTTATGTATTCTGTTCATCTAATTACTTTAGTTTTTAGAACATTTATGCTTCAACATTTTAACTCTGGTAACAACATTTTAACTCTGATATTTATTCAACTGTAATTTTTTGTATCATGACTTGGATTTGAAATGTAGAATTAAAATACAAACTTTAAAAAATTATTAGCATACATTGCACATATGTGTATTTTTCTTCTTCAGAAACTGTAACTGATGAATCTGGTGTTGATCAAACACCCTTGATGATATCTCGATGTAGCTCCTTGAGTTCACTTACTAGCTGTTTCCAACATTCAGCACGAAGTTCATGGGTCAGTGATGTAAGGTAAGAATTTTAAAATTAAAGAAAAAAAAACAGTATTCATTCAGTTAATTGAACTGTATTAAAATTAAAAACTTATAATACTGAGATAACAATAAAATAAGTACTGTATGAATTCATACATGTGGAATAGAAATAAAAATATCTTATTTGTAGCTATAATAAGATAATTAATTAATTTTAGATCTGTCTTATAAAGTATAGAAATGTAATAATGAAAATGCACTAGGCAAAGCCATTTTCAAAGTTTATCTAGTAATTTAGATCCAGTGAAATTTTCCACTGCTATAGACATCATTTTACATCATTAACTGAAAACTTTCTAGTTTAGATTATTATTATCATTTTAAGTTTTATTACTTTATTGCTTAGTGATTTAATGTTAATTATTATGATAATTTGTTCTTGCATGAGAGGTGCCTCTTAAAATTTTTGAAAATGTATGCTAAGAACTTTATGTATGTTTGAAAATACATCGTTTGAAAATTTGTTGTATATTCTGATACTGTTCTTTACAGTTTTCATACTGACTAGCTTCTTTATAAATAACATGAAATTCTTTGTTAATTCTGTATTTTTTTAGTTAGTTTTTGTTTTATATGTAATAAAAGTCTCTTAAATTTAAACAATAGGCAACTGACATAAATAATATGAGTTGATATATACTGCTTGCATAATATAAGCATCCATATTTTGCATTATTCTGCAATACATACATTTTTAATAATATTATGAATGTTATTCAATGATTTTGATCTTTCTAAAAGGAATTTCCAAAGGTGCTACAAAAGTAGATTGAGAAATACAATTAGAAATACTCTCTCCATCAAAATTTGTAATGTTAATAAACATAGGAAATAAATAATACCCCTTTTAATATAATTTTTTTCATTTACAAAAGATATACGAGCTTAACCAAACATTATATTATATAAAATATATAATAACTGTATTACTATGAGTAACAAATTTAAGATATGCAACTTTCAAATTTGACATATAAGTATTCATTTGTTACCTTACATATAAATAACTCAGAATTTTGAAATTATTAATCATATTAATCTGCAGTTAACTTTATCAAATATAAATAACTCTGTAAAATATGAAGAAATTTGCATTAGTATCTATATAAGTTTTTTTTAAAAAAGCATCTAGAAATATACCATAAGCATCTGTTTTTGTCATCAGTTGTCTTTCTATCATATTGAATCCAACTGAAGAATATTAGGTGTGGTTCTCAAACTTCCTTGGCACTCAGCCATATTACCTTATTATTAATGGAAGAAGAATCAATACTTCTTCCCATGCTCTCTGTATTCTTCATCCTTTGCTTGAGATGCATTTTGTATTAAAAGGAGTTTGTGATTTTGCAAGTGTTTTCAAATATATTCTCAAGTAAATTGTTTATCTACTTTTTCAAAATTGTTATACATTTCATTTATTTTTTAAGAATTGATGATCAGATAGCATTATTTTATGCAATAGGCATATATATTTATCAGTATTGATGATAATAATAAGCATCTTGTTTCTTTTTTAAATACTAGTTTTATATAACAAAAATTTGGGTCCAAATTTTCAAATTATTCTTTTAATTTTTTGTATTTCTGTATTTTTTACTGTGGATAAGCTAGCTTTTATTTTTATTTGGAAAATGTTTTTGTAGGAGTTAATAAAAATTATATAAAATATATTTTTAATTAAAGCTAGTTTCCTTAGCTTTCATAGGTGCATTTTCAATATATTTGTGAAATAAAGTAACTTTCTTATTAAAATTTTGTTTGCTGAGCGATAAAATCACAGAATATTGGTAGCTCGACCAGGGTTCAAATCCCAGCAAATAGGCTGGCTGCATAGTTGGTTTTCGTGATTTACTCTATTTGTAATCTAGTTTCTCATGAAAATCTTCCACGAAGGCATCCCTCCCCATACACAGATAGTCCTTGAATTGCTTTGCTTTATCAATTAACCTAGTCTTTTTAAATTTACTAAGCAAACTAATTAAAATTTGTGAATTAATTTTTTTTTCATTATTTCAGTCAACGTACAAGTGCAGTAATATCTCCAACAGATCTACCAGATTCTCCTAGTTGTGGTATATCTGAAGAAAAACCTTGTATTTCTGAATTTACTGACAAAATTCCAGATGCTGATGCACATGGTCTGATACGACCAAGACCAGCTTGGCCTATGAGTTCTCAGCCATCGTCTGACTCATTACCAAGTTCTGTGAAGAGAATGTCTCTGGAAAGTGATGTTTTTGTTGGAAATGATATATCACATTTTAGTTCTACTGCAGACCATTCAGAAAACAGTGAAATCATGGTTTCACCTGATTCCTCAAAAACACCTCCAGCTAGACCACAAAATACTCCAGTGTCACCAGAAAAAGAATTATGCTCAAGTGGTGAAGTAAGTAATAAACATTATCATCTTTTCTCTTTTTCCCAATTATGTTTAATATAATTATAGTTTTTAAATGTAGTTCTGTAACTGGAAAATATGAAATAGATAAGTTAATAAATGATTTGCACCAGTATTTTCAACTTTTGCCTTTCCAAATGCTGTTTGATAAGTCCTCAATGAAAAAATGCCTTTGACAGAAACATTTTTAATGAAATAGAATTATTATTTTTAAATGCATTTTCCAAAACTAACTATGGGTTTTAAAATTTTACTTTAAATTATATGTGATCCGTCTAAATTAATGTTCTTTTGTATTTTGTTAACTAAAACAATACATGGAGGTCAATATGAGAGAAAAAAATCTCTTGAGGTCACTTACAATTTATTTAGTACAGTCAAAAGTTGTTAATACGGACTCATCGGGACTTCGGCGATTCCGGATTATAGATCATCAGTTTAAATCTGGTAAGATGGCATGAAGAAATTATAAAATTAAAAATATGAAACCGTAATTTATGAAAAAAAGAACAATTATGATCTAAAAGGTATCAAAATTTACAAAAAGAAAAAAGCTTAATATTTATTTGTTTACTTTATTAAACATTTCTTTCAATGTAAGTTGTTTAAGTTCCTTCGTTTCATGTGATAATACTTTGTTTAATTCTATTAAACAGACATAATTTCCTGTTTAGTTAAAAGTTCCGCTGTTCAAGTCCTATAATTGCTGTGTCGAGAATACCGACTAATTTGTCAATCGAAATTTTTTTGTTTTTCAATAACCTCTGTGTCTCTTTCTTTACTATCGGAAGCGAATTATAATAATGACGAGGAACTTGTTTTAAATCATATCAAAGACGGAGTACATCGAGATGAAATACTACATTTAGTAAGGAATTATAAGCCAAATAAAATAAAAACATCTGACCTGAAGATAAGGATAGTGCTGACAGATCAACTTCCAATTCATTGCGAGCCGCGGCGTTCCCTCTGCCGAGCAGCGTGAAATTGATAAACAGATTTCGGATTTCGAAACATACTTTCGTTTTAGGTCCTTTACATATTAGCAAATATATATTGGAAATTCTATTTGATATAATCGAAAGTTCAAGCTTACTTTTATAAAATTGCTCTAACAGTCTGCAAAAAATAATAAGGCGGATCCAAATTCGAAGATTAAGGAACAACGCAATCTGCAACATTAACTGAATTAGATCATTTTAGCTTAGCTTATACCGTCCGTTATACATTAAACGCGCATGCATAAACGTTTTATGCGCATGCGCACATGCACATTCGCAGCCGTAAAGGTCTTACACGCACACATAAACGTGCATGCGCAGAAAGTTTGTAGCTTTGAGGTCCAGATTATAGGTGTCCGAATTAACGACTTTTGACTGTACTATTTAATATGAGTAATTTTTCATTTTTTATATTAAATATTATAATATAGATGTTTTTATTAAATGAAAATGCATATACTAAAAATTACTTCTGTCTAATACTTTACAACGATTTTTAGTTATAGCATGAAATTAATATGTTGCATTATTATTGATTTCTTAGATATTTCTAAAATAATACTCATTTATATTTAACTAGTAAAAAGTACATTTTTACTATTTATTGTTTCAAGATTTAGAAATTTTTTTCTTTTCTTTAAATTATCAATAGTATCCATATAGCATCCATAAACTGACCAGAGTATAGTACTTTTCTTGAACAAAACATAGCAATGTAATGAAAAATGTTATGCTATCATAAGTAACTTTTTATATTTTGTGAAAAATATCTAAAAATTTTGTTTTCATGGAAAATCACTGCAAGTGTGTTTCACAATATTGCCATGCTGATATTGTCACCATAATTAGAAGTGATAATTCACAACTTAATTTGGACATTTTTTAACTCTTCAGTTTCATGGTATTTCTTCCCTTTACCTTTTTATATTGAAATGTTTTCATGTGTTCTTCATTAATAGTAGGAAATATTGATTGAAAGCCACATGGAAGTAAATATTCATATGATTTTGGAAGTCCACATGAAAGTTAGAATTTTTACTTTCACCCTCCCTTCTTTCTTTTTACAGATGACTTTAGGCTATAATAGCTGTAAATATGAATGTTGATATTTTAGTTATGTTCATTAGAAGTAGAATCCCTTACTGTGTGCAAAAAATATTCAGCCTTGAATGACTGTTATTAAGCAAATATTTTTGAGTTGGTTCACTAGTTTTTTAATTGTACTTTTTCTAAAACTATTTAAAATGAAGTCATTAAAAATCCTTGCATTAAATTTTTTTGTAAATTCATATTTGGTGTGTTTCCCATTGCAAGCCATGCATATGAATGTAGAGATAGTTCAGTTACAATAACAGACAGAAGTCGGAAGACGTCATCAGTGACTGGCTTTGTAACTAGTAACATTAATGTAGCAGTCAGATGGAATAGGAAATTTAAAATAAATTGCAATTATCTGTTTTAATCAAATGGCAGGTTATCCTGAAAAATTGAAGAAAACCATAATTTACTGATATGTTTTAAATGCATCCCAAATAAAGGAATGTTTTCGTAAGCCCTCTGAGTGTTATGGGTTTTTCTCTGAAATTTCAAAGTACCCCAAAATATCATGAGTAAGTTGTATTTTCTTGATTATAATTCCAAAAGAACCCTCTCACTTTCTACATGGACTTGTTTTCTTCCAGTATACATCCAACCCAAAACTGAATTTATCAGGATCATGCAGACATTTTCATGCATAACAAATGAAAAAGCCATCCTTCAATACAGAATTTTACATCCATAATGCTCAGAGGGTTTTAACAAGAGTATAGTCTACAATTTATTTTATATTTATTTTATGACACAAAATATATTAGTGCTATTCTTTGGTGCATAGAAATAGTAAAATACCTATTACATGTCTACATGAATAGAAAAAATTCTTGTAATGTAACTGATGATAACATTAATTAAATTTTTGAGTTGCTATGCTACAGTCAAATAGTTCATTTTTTCCTAATGTTTTAAGTTACAGTAATACTGTATATGTTGTAAAAAAATCTTAATATCTTTTATTTAAAAATGTATAAAAATACATTTCCTCCCTCTAGAGTTTAACTTCTCAAGAAAATAATGAAGACCCGAATCAGGATGGAATGAAAGATCACGAAATGCCTTCTACTTGTGTTAGTTTAATCAGCATCCCAAATAATGCTAGTGAAGCCCACCACAATAACAGTATTCTTCATTCTAAAGTTAATAATTTGTGTTCTTCATTCTCACTTTCACGCAGTGGAATTCCTATCAAGTCAAGCTGTCAAACACGACTAATACAATCTTTTCCAAATTCTGCAAGACCAGATGTCACTTCTATTGTGGGTACAACGCCACTAAATTCATTGAGTAAATTATTTAACCAATCTAAACTGGTGAATTTGCATGGCAAAAATTATATATCTAATTCAACTGAAGCTATCTGTGATGATAATGATAACCTCTTATTCAGTTCTGGGAATATTGAGACAGTACAAATGAAACAGCAGAATTTTCAGTCTTGTGATTCTAAATCTGAACATTCTGTAAAGCCAAAACTGAACATTCCATCAGAAAATACTAATTCTCGGACGAATACTTCACAAGCTTTTGAATCAAAATGCCTTAGTGTGTGTAAAAAGTACCCAGCCTTGAGTCACAAGTCTGGTTTTGGGCAGAGTGAACACAGACAGGCAGATGCTTTTGCTGATCAGATATCTTCTGGTTCAAGATCATCAGCTGAGGAGCATGATGGATTCTCTAAAATGAGCACTTCAAATAATAGTAAGCTGTATATTTCATAAAATTATGTGTGTGATGTTACTATCTCAAGTACGTGGGGTTACCCAAAAATAACCAGAATTGGCTTTTAAGCAAGTATACTTAACATTTATGTATTTGAGTCCCTTTCAGAGTGTACTTCACCAGCATTATTAACTTTACCCTGTGTTTTGCCCATTTTTGGAGACATGGAAACAGTTCTGGAGTTCTTGACATGGTATATTATTTAATGCAAGCAATATAGTTTCTTGGCCTCATTTCACTCACTGAACTTTTTTAAATAATCAGACTGTTTTCTGAAATTGCATTCTTTGTTGTAGAAATAGAACAAGAGGAATATTTAATGAAAGAGAAATAAACACCAACCTTTCTCTTCCCTGAGAACTGTTGGCTGACAAAGTTTCTTCAGAAATCTGGTGAACTGTCTTTCAGTGATCCTCATTTGTAGCCTGTTTTACTTTCTCAGTGTTTTCCTAATTGCTGCTTATCAGTGGATATCCAAGTCAGCAGTCTTCATTTGATATGTCTCCATTTTTTAGAATGTAAAATTACTCTTACACTTGTACTTTTCTCAAAGCATCATCTTTAAAGGTTTTTCTAAATCATAATAAATTACAATTTTTCTCCAAAAAAAAAAATTCACGCATATTGTAGATTTTTTATGGTCATATATCTTAAAAATGGCAGAATATTGTGAGCAGGAACAGTCACGAATCGGCATCAAGGAAAAATCACTTTATTCAGATTGTTATCAGTTGGCAAATCGGCATAGGAAATCTGACTTAACAAGGTCTAGCTGTATGATGCATAATTACAAAATATTTACTTGCAGTGTTTTCATTCTAGTTATTTTTTGAGTCCCCCTACTTATAATTAGTTTCGTTTTTTTAATGGGTGCCTGTTTGATTTTAAATCAAAATGTATTAATTATGAAATATTAATTTGCGTACCAAAAATAAAAAAAGATAATTATTTAATTAATCTTTTTTTTAAGTTGTATTCAGCAATTTTTAATGAAAAAATTGAAAAATTTGAAGTATAGAGGTAAAAGTATTCCTCATTCCTTTTCGTTCTGAAATCATTATGCAAACATGCATTAAGTTTTTTTAAGCATCAAAACACATCTTTGCAATGTTATCATCATACAATGATTTGCAGGTTCTTTACTTTTTACCATATTTTTTTCTGTGATGATATTTTAAAACTGCCTGTTTTAACTGTTCCATTTTCTAAAACGATGTTTTAGAACTGTGATGTTTTCTCCTTGCTTTCTCCCATGATGTTTTGTATGATGACATTTTCCCCTTGCATTGTTTTCTCCATGACGTTTTCATTGTAATCATACCATTAAGCTCTATATAAATAAAATGTTTATTAATTGCAGAAATAAATACTTCAAAAGCAACGGAGCTAATAAAAAAGTATAGAAAAGCTATTGGTATAAAATGTCTGTAGCACATTTCATTAAAATATGTAATTAAAGTAGAGAACTAAAAATACTCTTCTTGGGACTTTGTATATTATTAAAGACCTAATAGAGCTAAGCTTAACTACAGTTTTCCATAAAGACAATCAACATCCATTTCATTGGATGCTTTTCAAATGAAATTTAAATAAGATAAATATAATTCAACTGTAATCAAATCTTTAGTCATCTACTAGGAAAAATACTTAAAAAGACTTAAATTATGTTTAAAAAGTGAAGCAACTGGCTAAAAGTTCAGGAACAGACATTTAAGCATTGATGCGACTCAAAATTTTGCAATTTTATTAACAATTTAAAATTGTTATCAAACTCTGAAAAAGCATATAGCACATGATATTTCAAAAATCCTTTTAAATGGAGTATGTGGATTTACATGAAGAAAAATATCTAAGATTGCAATTAGAACAAAGTTAAGCATATATTTTATTTGATATATGATCTCAGAAAAATAATGACATAAAGCACATTTAGCTAAAAGAATAATAAAACATAGAGTAGTCACTGGGTATATTTGTAAGTTTACATGTATTTTGTGATATAAATTTTCAGAATGCTTTTTTAAAATGTGTGTCAAAACTTTAATGTATACATTTTCCTAAACCATTAAACTCATTAAGAATTAATTTATGGTGAAATATGAAATTCATATATTGTATTTAGTTATCTGAATTTCTTTTATTAAATTATTAAATACTAAATAGTATTATTTTATTGATATTTCAGGCCTATCAAGTAAAACAAAAACAGCAATACCTCAAATTATTCGTGCAGAAAAGCCTGTCTGTGATGGTGAGCAACATCCTAGACAACTTCACATCAAATCTCAAAATTTGCCTGTGTATGTGGGAACTACCACAATAAGCAGTAAACAGCAATCTGAGCAAAGTTCCACACCGCAAGAAAATACTAGTTCAGCTGAAGAAAACATCTCTGAAGACATTCTCAGTACCAGCCCGTCAGCCTGTGATGAGTCTGAAGATATTGATACAGACAAGCAAACACGATTGCCTTGTGGAAAGTCTGGTGAACCTCCAATTCGAAGAATCAAATCTAAGAAGAGTAAAGCTAATAGACGATCAATGGAAATACGACCTCCTTCTGAGCAATCAAGTGAAGATGATAATAAGAATTCTTTTAATAGAATAAGCGATAGTAATTCTATATCTGTTGGCTACCATATATCTGTTCCATCCAGTGAAAGTGAAGGAAAAGTCAAAGAAGATCAAAGAACCAGAGAAAAAGTCTCACGGGGAATAATCCCTGATCTTTTAGAAGGTGCAGCATTTCATGATGAACTGTCTAATTCTCATAGGTCTCAAAACAATGCTGAACGATCAAACATACCTAAAGTGATGACTGATTCAATGGAATTAAGAAGAGGAGCCTTAATGATTGCTGCTGAATTAGAAGAGGGAATTGATGACTGTACACATAGTAGTACTAGTTTTGATTTAGAAAATATGAAACCTCCATCTTGTATGGGTGAAATGAGCATGACTAGCAGTGGGCTTTCTGATTTGTTATCTAATGGTAATGGTTGCTATATAAATGGTAAACGTGCGATTGATCGCAGGAGAAATATGAAAAAATCTAAAAAACTTGGAGGTAACCATAGATTTGTTTTGAAATCTGTGAGGCAAACATTAGTCAGCAATTTAGATGTTTCAAAACAATTAGATAAAATCGATAAGCCTATTTCTGCTTCTACATCTTTTGAAAATATAAGCATGCGAAGTAGTGGCACTTCAGATCTTATTGATAATATTAATCCTCCCTCAATATTAGATGATATTTCCATGACAAATAGTTGTGCTAGTCTAAATAGTATAAGTTCAGATATTCTAGAAAGTAGATCTCAGTCCTTAGCAGATCCTAGAAGCAACTCAGAAATGTTCCAGCGGCTCAATGCTGCTGCAGCAATGGTACAGGTGTATTCACGAGAACTTTCTAACATCATGACAGGCAGTATGAAAAGCAGCTGTAATTCAGATTGCTTGGATCTTGTGAAGCCACCATCTATCTTCCAGGATATTGCTGAGGTAACTGTTGAAGATGGTACAGAAGTGGCGTCTGATCCTTTAGTGTCCGATTTTGAATTCGAAGAAGAACTTCCTCATGACGATGAAGCATCTGTGCCATCAACAGAAACTGTTCATTCACCATTTCTACAAACCACAAAAAATACTGATGGTAGTATAGAAAATTTAAATAGCTCTGTTGATGGTGACAGTCTTATGGACAGAGAGCACTTTTCTGTAAAACGAATAAGCAGCTTAGCTCTTGAACCACAAAATACAAGAGTGATTGACATTAGTCATAACAGTATTCAGCATCCTTCTTCAACTACTATTGGTAATGAAGAGTCGTCATGTATGCTTAATTTTGATGCTGATGATTCCTGTGATGTTGATGAACGCATGGATGAATGCATTACATCAACCCCATCACCAGCAGTTCGAAGAGGTCCACGAATTGTGAAACCAATTAATCGTGAAACTGTACGACAAATGCAAGAAAAGAAAAATGCAGAAAAATCAGTTAAAGCAATTCGTGGTAGAGCAACTTCAAGTAAACCAAAAAATCTCCTTCAACAAGTTACAAGTGCACACATTGCTGGCTCTAATATTAAGATAGCTGGAACTAAAACATCTTCTCCTTCAGTCAGTGGTGTTAGACCAACCAGAACATCAGCTCTGCGTGCATCACAAAATAAACAACCTAATATTCGAGGAACTAGTGGCAGAATGTCTCCAAGATCATTTTTGAGTAAACCACCTACTACTAATTTGCGAAATTCTAATAGAGTTAATAAGACGGTAATTGTAAATTCAAATAATCATGCACCTGTAGATTCAAAAACGAATTCCAGTCAGTCAGAAACTAAAAGACCCCATCCACCTGTTAAACAAGGTACATTTACCAAAGAAGAAACAAATCCAAAAGTGCCTAATCTTTTATCACCTGCCTCAGATATGGATTTGCCTTCAGAAAATGTAGTTCAGTATTCTGATGATCAAAATAATAATGAGAAACTGTATGGCATAGTAACTTCTGTTACCAGTGGATCTACACTACTGGACAGGAAGATCTCATTTGCTTCTGCATCTGCTGCATCATCATCAAATCGCAATTTGCAGAGGAAACTTAGTGCTCCAGTCCAAAGGAAAAGTGGGGAAAGGACTGGAATACCACAGTCTCCTAGTTCTCAAAGTTTACCTCAAGAGGATCGGAGCAGCAAAAAGATTACAGGTAAATTAGTTATGCACTACACATTACTCTTCACTCTGTAATGTTTGAATATTATCTGTTGGTATATGTGTATGAAGACAACTACATATATTCAATAGTGATCTATGAAAATTTTAACAAAAGTCTGCTTACTTTATCTTACAAAAACAAAATGCAAAATTCTATTAAATGTTTTACTTTTTACAAAAACAAAAAATAGGAATAATTGTGCATAAACAAGAAAACTAAATATTTAAAACATTTACAATTAAAAAAGATCACAATGTATCTAAAAATTTAATAAAATAACAATTTAATTATGTGGCACAGTTTGTGCCAAATCTGTCATGTGTTTACTTTTTCTTTCACATCAATTGATCATCCAAAAGGTTGCAAAACTGAGCAGTGATTTTTGAAAGAATTGTTCACCTAAAGTTTAGGATTGAAGTCTCTTGAAGATTTCCCATTTAAAGAGATTGTCATTAAATCTAAAATATTATACCATGAAAGATCTTCATTTTATGAAATAGTTTGATACCCAACAATAAATTCACTGAAAATAAACAGCACTTTCTAGCAACCAATTTGAATTTTAGATTACTTACATTAGTACATTTGTACATTTGACAAAATTTAATGAAGCCAGATGAGGCACTAATTCTCGGAAACAGGAAGACTAGTGTAAATCAAAATATGATAAGGAGATGCATGATGTGTTTTTCTCATAAATAAACAAGCAAATAAAAAGGGCAAAGAATTTGCCAATTAGAGATAAATTTGGTACTTAGATATTAATGCAACCACCTGGGTAGAAGTGCCAAATTTTCAGAGTCTGCCAAGCTCTGGCAACCATGCTGATAACCATTGTTTCAAGCAGTGCTGCCATTTTTATATATGTTCTGTTTCATTGTATTCTGAGTTCAAACAGTTTCATAAACAAATCATGATATTTTTGCCTTAAACTTCGTTTTAAAATATCAACTGTGGGAATTTGCTTGCAGTGGAAGAAACTGCAGTAAAATTATGCAGGAATACAGGATTTTGCTAAAACTTTTCTAAAAAGAATAATGAAGAAATGCATTGCTTAGATAGCCACTGTTGCCAAGGGTTGCACAAAGCTGAGTCTGTGTAATTCTCTGATTTTTTTAAGCAAAAACAGATCACTGTGTACTTCAGGAGAATAATAATAATTTTTTTTTTTTTTTTTTTTTTTTTTTTTTTTTCAGAAAGATTTGAAGAAGAATGTGTTTTTACTTTTTATGTATCACGTAATCCTTATTAAATAATTTAAATTTGTATTTTAAACCTCTAAAGTATGTTTCTTTTTCACTGTGATAATGTTTACCGACTTAAATAATAAAAATAATAAAATTACCGACTTAAATAATAATAAAAATCAGTAGTTTGGAAAACTCTAAAAAAAAGTTTGAAAACCACCACCTTGCACCCAAAAAGTAGCTTTTACCTTTTCATCTGTAAAAAATCACTAAATTGCTCAAAGGTGTTTTCTTTAATATGTAAGTACCGCAAATTTAATAAAGGGCTCACACAAGCCCCTAAAACTCACCACTGCATATACAAGATATATACTGATGCCTTGAACAATAAATATATAAGGTATTTCTCCCGCCTTCCTAGCATGTCTTCATGGTGTAGTGGTTCTGCACGCTGGGCCAGTATCCAGACAGAGGTCTGTGGTTCGATTCCCGGTGAAGGTGGTTGCTAATTTTTCATCCTTCCTGCTCTCAAAAAATACCTAATGTCTCTACAGTGGCACCCAAACTAAAAAGGGTGTTGGATGATGATTCTTCTCACCCAGGATTTGGCGATTGGGTCCCCTAAAAATCCTAGTCGCCCTTTGAAAAAGGGTGAGTATATAAGGTATTTCTTCCGCCTTCCTCGGGTGGTGTAGTGGTTCTGCATGCTGGGCCAGTATCCAGAGGTCCGTGGTTCAATTCCCGGTGAAGGCGGTTGCTAATTTTTCATCCCTCCTGCTCTCAAAAAATACCTAATCTCTCTACAAATACAATATATCCCATAATAGCTGATTTTGCTGGCCACAGATACCCTATATTGCTGCTATTCTTACATTTATGAATAGATGCTATTCATAAATGTAAGAATACAAATTATCTGAACCTAAAGTACATCAGAATCAAATTTAATGAAATATTATATTGTGATGGCAAATATATATATATGTTTTTTTTAATCAGCTTATTGAAAATTGATCTAAAATTTTTACTGACACAAGAGAGCAAATAAATAGAGAAATCATTCTGAATAAAACCATATTAAAATATGTGTATTGTACACTAAAAATAGCTAATGTAAGTAAAATATCTATTGACAAGCATAATATAGATATTTAATTTCTCTCTTGAGAGTATGAAATGCATAGTTTATAATTTTATATAATCATTACAGTGCTATTATATTATATCATTCTTTTCAGAAAAGAAAAGTCCTACCAGTGGCAGTTCTATAGGAAGAGGATCTTCTGTTGTAGGCAGCAGAACTACAAGTACAAACAGTTTATCATCAGTGTCTTCCAATAGTTTGTCAGTCAAAAAATCTAGTTCTCAAAAAGATGTGCCAAGCAAAATATCATCAATTTGGAAGCGAAGTGAAAGCAGCTCTTCAGCAAACAGTCCTGTTACTGATAATTCTAGTGTTGAAAAAAGTACTCCTAGCAACTTCAGGAACAAAATCCTCACTTCTAAAAGTGCTACACTTAGGTAACCACATATTATTACAGTTATTCGCATATTGAAGCCATTAACTATTTTATTTTTGTCCTCATAGAGATCTGCAACTTCCCAAGCTGTAAAATAGAGGTTACATTACTGTTGACTTTTTTAAAACTGTTCTAGCTTCCTGATTTTATGGTCAAAATTAATTTTTTAGAAATTTTTCAGTTTTTTATTATGTTACTAAATATTTTGCCAACTTGTCACCAAATCTGTTGCAGGCATTGAGCTCATCAGTTCATTCTTTTTTATTGGATCAAAAACAAAGTCTACCTTTTTCAGAATGAGAAATAAAGTTACTGGATATTGGTAGTTCAAATCTCAATAAATGGGCTAGCTGCATGGGGATTTTCCCCTATGGTAACGTTGGTAGAGTCAGTTTACCTTGAAAGGTCTTTCATAAAAGCATTCTTCCTCATGGGCACCTAAGCCTAATCTTTTTGGAATATGAATTCATTTATTGTATTCATCAAGTTAGGCAACTTATCACCATTGAGATTTTTAAGATTAAACATACAAAAATTTTGATTTGATGATTTTTGAATTTCAAGCCAAATTTTTAAAAAATGATATCACAATGATATTTTTAACATACGATACCATTAAAATAATGAGTATTATATGGTATCCTTAAAATAAAACTTTTTTTATTTCTGTCTGCCATTTCTCAAGCTAGGTTTACCTCATCTGTCAATTTCTGAATCTCTTTGATTCTGAAATTTAAGCAAAATAATAAAGGCTATAATGCACAATTTATGAATTACTTTTTAGCTAAAGAACTGATGATGATGATGATGTCGTGTCTATGACAAAGTGCAATTATATAGCTGCGAAGCTGTCAAAGACAGCTTTTGCAAACTCAGCAACTCTATCAGTATAAAGTAGGTCACTGGGTCTTCCATGCCGATGTTAAACAGTCTGGCCTGGATTGCTGGGAAGCTGAAGATGTGATGGCGAGACAGTGGGATGTCATCTGGGCAGTGATGACAAATGTTTGTGTAACTACACTGTCTGTCTGCAGAAATTCTCATCCCTTTTAAGTGATTTGTCCTAAGTCTGGTTATGATAGTCGATATGGCTCTGTCACAGTTCAAATGCGGGATGGAGTTTCCTTTAACTTGACCGATTAGTCTTTGGCTGGCAACTGCATTGGCATCAACGAGGGTTAGGCAGTTGGATGGCTGAGGAGAATCACAGGATGCCTTTGCAAGCTCATCGGCCTTCTCATTATCAAAAATATTTACATGAGCCGGTATCCAATGTAAGATGCAGGATCTTTGGGCAGCAATGATTTTGTTTGTGAGCTCAATGATCTGATGACTAAGTTGACATTTGCCCTTCTGGATCGCTTGCAATGCTGATCTGCAGTCAGAGAAGATGATAATGCCCTTGGAACTCTGGTCTTCTTTAGAGAGATAAATCTCCAGAGCACTTTTGATGGCAACAAGCTCGCATGTATAGTTGGAGGCGATTTTCCCAACAGGAATACTGTGGCATTTCTGCACTCCATCTGGTCCGATGAAAAAGACTCCCACTCCTCCTCTGTTCAGATTGGAGTAGGAAGTGTCGTCTGTGTATGCGATCGTCAGATCTTGAGTTAAGGTCGTGAGTTCCTCAATGGTATGGTCACCCTTTTCTTTGATTATTGCGGTGGGATCTTTCTTGGTACAAGGCTGTAAGAGATTTAATAAATTTTGTTTTGGGAGAGGCACAGAAATTGTGGAAATTTTGAGAGTCTCATATTTGAGGTTGATGGTCATTCTGAATCTTGGTCATGTTGGAGTTTTGAGGATCTCTTAAGCTTGCATTGTCACTCCATGCCCAAAGGTTCTACTTGAGATATGATGTTCAGCAAGGGGTTTGTATTTTGTTGTAAATTTTAATTGTTATTCTTGCTCTCCAAGGGGGCGAGGTCGCATTCCTTTTCAATTTTGATGTTATTCGTTGATGAAACAGCTCCAGTGATGATTTTAGAGGCCCTATATTGAACAGCGTTGATCTTTCCTTTAACAGTAGGCCTTGCCGATGCCCATATGGGTGCTGTGTATTCTAGAACAGGCCTGACGATGGAAGTGTGAGTATTCTTGAGGGGTTTTAGTCTTAATCCCCAAGAGGCACCACAAAGTCTTTTAAGGATGTTTAGCTTTTTCAGTGCCTTTATTGAAACATGTTCAAGGTGTTTAGAGAATCTCAACCTGTTGAGAAGACACAAAAGTTTGTTTTATCTGGATTAATTTTAATATCTTTTGACCAGATTTCAATGCCTTTCATACAGATATTTAGAGCCTTTTGTGAGACTTCGAGATTTGAGTGGGTGTGCCAGACTGCAACATCAACAGCATAACAGGCAACTTTGATTTCTTTACTGATGTGCGGGGTCAATCGTATTCATGTATAGAAGAAAAAGAAGAGGGCTAAGTACGGAGCCAAGCCCTGAGGAAATCCCGCCCGGGTATGGTGAATGGTGAAGAAACTGCCATTAACCCTGACTTTAAAGCTTCTATTCCTTAGAAAATCATTTATCCAGATTAGAGAATTAGATGTAACGCCTGTATCGTGAAAAATGTTGATCAGTTTCTGCCTCCAGACCCTGTCGAAAGCAGCAGAAAGATCAAGAAGAACCCTGGTGGTTTTCTTATGGGGTTTGTTTTGAAAGCCGTCAACAATTGATTGGCAAAGGTAGAAAAGCTGATCGACGGTGCTGTGATTGGCTCTATATGCACTCTGATATGAGTACAAAATGTTTTCTCTGTGATCCAATTCATCAGCCTAGAGTGAATAATGGGCTCCATAGTTTGCATGGAATGCAGGTGAGCGAGATAGGTCTGTAATTAGCGCAGTTACTTGCAGATTTCCAGGTTTTTAGGATGGGAATAATTACAGAGTTCTTCAGGATTTGGGTAACTTACAGAGCGCCATGAGATATTAAAGATATTCAGCAAGTCTCTTTTAGCATTTGCACCAAAATGTGTGATCATTTGTCCAAAAATGAGGTCTGGTCCTGGGGATTTCTTTTGATTCCAGACTATTTATTGCAGATTCCAGTTCCTCAGGATCAAAGTCAGATGTGAAAATGCTGTTGTCGGTTGTTTGCCTGCTTTTTTTAATAACAGATAGGTATTTTTTATTAACTTATTATATGTCTCCTATCGTATACTGCAATTTGCTAGAAGCTTCGTAGTGCTTATAGCAAGTAAGTTTGCTATTTTTTTGTTTGTTCTGGCATTCGAGCCGTTTGTGGAGATCACATTCGACCGAGGTTCCGCCTGTATGTTGGCTGCTGGACTGCTTGAGTTGTTTAGGGCCTTAATCAAGTTTCAGTATTGGGACGTTCCTTTTCTTGGGTCAACTTTTTCGCACAGCTCTGTCCACTTGTCTTGTTTGCTAGTTCCAATATTGGCTCGACGTTCCACCTTTTCTTGGGTCAATTTTTTCGCACAGCTCTGTTTACTTCTCTTGTTTGCTAGCCAAGCTGGCTTCTTCCACCTTTTGACTTACTTTTATAAGTTTACGTCTTATCTCTGCACTGTTGTTGCTTTGAAGTTTTTTATTGGTTTGGCCTCTTTCCTTTATAAGTGCCTCGATGTTATAATCCTCCCAAAATGGAATCCAATCGTCCTTACACTTTCCTCTAGGTATGTGAAGTTTTGCTGCGATTTGGATGTGGCTAGTAAAGAGAGAGAGAAGTTCCTCAAGGCTACTACAGACTTTTGGTTCAGAGCAGAGGTTCTCAAGTTCTCGGGTAAACCCAGGCCAGTCTGCTTTACGGAAGTTCCATTAGTGCTTGGATTGCGATAGACGTTCTCGGTTTATTGAGAAGGTTGTAAGAACTAGGTAATGGTCACTGATGGCAGAATCTAGGACTCTCCAGTTTGTTCTGCCTGCTGAAGGTGGTAATGACGGTGATGTCAAGTGAAGCCGCTGCCATTTGCTCTAGAGATGTAGGTATTTTCTCTTGTGTTGAGGATGGTTTTCAAGTCGTCTGCTAGTCCTCACTTGGGTTCCTTTAGAATCCAGCAAATTGCTGCCCCAAGAGGCTTTTGGCATTGAAGTCTCCAATATGATTTTTTGTCTCTGAGTTTTGAAGATGCCAAATCTTGAAGGAGGTCTGTTCAATAGAAGAATTGTTGGGATGGTAAATATTAATCACGGTGATAGTGTGCTCCGGAAGAAGGACATTTATTGTTTGAGCCTCCGTGCTGGTGTCTGACAGGAAAGTTGAAAGGACTTCTACGTATTTAATTTCTGGTATCTTTACAAGAAAAGCTATTCCTCCTTCGTTGCTGTTTGGCCTGTCCTTTCTGATTGTTGTGTACCCTTTAATTTTTAGACTAAGTTTTTGGTTAAGGTTTGTTTCCTGCAGGCAGGCAACATGAATATTGTTGGAAAACAAAATGTCTGAGAGTTCAGCCAATTTTCTCTGGGTGCCATTAATATTTAGCTGTAGAAAGTTCACTGTCCTCGTAGCTAATTTCTGGACGTGTCCCCAGACTGCAGGTCGCGTCGCATCGGCTGCCGTGGACGCGGTAGCATGTTGACTAGCAGATATTGCACAATTCATAGAAAAAGAAGCTGCCAGAGCCATGAAGAGGTTGGACTTCTGCCTGTTGGTCCACGGAAGGTATTTTATTTCCCTCCTATCACCCAAGTATAAACCTATGGAGGCATTCCCCGATCCGCCACCTGGGGACGTGCTCTCTAGGGGTTACAGGCTCCCCCGACAGAGCTAAAGAACTGATGTAATTATGTAAGAATTCATTTTATTTGTCAGATTTTTCATATTTTATGATAAGTGTTTCGCCTATTAAAATATTTAAATGTATGTTAATATTTTATAGAAAATTTTCCTTACACTTTTCCTGAATTTGTTTAAAAAATCTTATGATTTTTCAGTCTTGTGTAGTTAGCAGAAATGAGGTTTTAAAAACAAAAAAGCCATGTATCATGTAATTAATGTGGTATCTCTGCACAGATTTAAAATAAATTAT